TGAAGTAACCTTGTATGAGCGTAGCTCAGCCAAATCAACTCGGATCAACATAATCCAATCATGGAAATGAATGTCTGAAGCAGGAGCATCGTTCCACTGTCATAGAATGGGCAACATTGCCGATTGTGAGGAAATGGCTGTTAGCTCGCAATGTATGGGATATTGTCAATAGTATACAGTATCATCCTTCCATCCTTCTAGTCATGCAAAGTAGCTGAGTTACACGAAGAGGTCCTTCTGCATCTTTTGCTCTGCCAGGGTCCAGCTACTTGACAATGAACAAAGACCACTTCTCATATAGCATCACGCTTACAAACATAAAGGTGCCTGTATCTCCAAACTTTACAATGAAACGTGGGGTTTTGAATAGAGCAATGGGCTCGGCTTGGCCAACAGCACCTTGTGTGAAAGTTTCGCGTTCAATGTCGCAAACAGCCCAAAAAAATATTTTTTGGTCGTCGAAAAAAGTTTCAAGAGGTCGACCCCCAGATCCAGTTTGGCTGGTAGCGACATTGCGAAATCTGGGATCGGCCACGATCGACTTCATAGTTTGACACAAGATCGCTTTGACCCCGCCGAGCAGCTTTGTTCTATTAAAGACCCCACGTTTGATTGTAAAGTTTAGAGATACAAGTGCCTTTATGTTTTACATATTCTGTAAGCGTAATGCTATATGAGAAGTGGTCTTGGTTTATGTAAAGTAGTATGACAATAGAGCAAAAGATGCAGAGGGCGTGTTTGTGTAACTTGAGTCAGTCAACACAGGTGATGCATGATACTTGTACACTATTACGGAATAGTTCATAAATGCCAGCTAATAACCCATTCCTCCATTCACCTTTGTTTCCCAATCCAATGCATGTGAACGATTGTCCTTCTCTAGCTCATCATTTCCATCATTCAACTTTCTTGATCCGAGGTGATTTGACTGAAAAGTGCTCAAACACAGAAACATCATCCAATATCAGAAGAATTAAATTGGTAAGTTATTTGTAAACTGCCGGCTAATAACCCATTCCTTCCATTCACCTTTGTTTCCCAATCCAATGCATATGAACGATTGTCCTGCTCCAGCCCATCATTCCCATCCTTTAACTTTCTTGATCCGAGAGGATTTGGTTGAGTTACGCTCAAACACAAAACACGATCCAATTTCACAAAAATCATTTTGCAAAGTTATTTGTAAACTGTCACTGGATAGCCCATTCCTCCCCTTCATCATTGTTGCCCAATCCAATGCATATGAACGATTGTCCTACTCCAGCCCATCATCTTCATTCTTCAACTTTCTTGATCCCACGGGATTTGACGGAACAACGCTCATACACAGAAATGTCAATTCAACCTGCATTTAATTTCCACTTCTTCCGCTCTCAGCTTGGTGCCTCTTCCTTCCATTCTCATCTGCTGGTCCATTCAAGTACAACTACTGCCTGTGAACGATTGTGCTGCTTCAACCCATCTTGTCAATCCCACGCTTGCCTCGATCCGATTGTCTTTGACTGAATGGCAAGTCTATGGCGTGTACACAGCCTTCTTGTCACTCTTCTACAACACGCGAGTCTCTTGACACTACACAGTCTGTTGCACGTTCCTGTGCCACAACCAATCGTAACCACGTTCATTCCAGCAGCTATCATTAGCAAGGACTTCATTGTCTCAAACAGCGTTCCTCACTTGCAGCAACTTGCCGTGAGGCCTTCTCACGTGGACAGCAGATAGCCATTCTATACAAGCAGCTTTATTTACGTGTAGCAACTTGCTTTGATACATACGGATTCCAATGGATGATGCCATATCAGCTATCAAGTACATCGCAATGCAAGCAATCCTCACCTGGTTGAGCTGCAATGACAATGGCCAAGAAAGAGAGAGGCCGGCAACCGGATGGGAAGGAAGCATACCAGCAGCGATCAAAGAGGTTCTTTTTGACATGCGATGATTATGATGGATGGATACAATCAAGTGCAGTGATGAGAAATCCTGGATGTTGTTTTGGTTACTTGGCGCGTCGTCAGCAGGAGTGATGGATTAACCACGTGAATACGACTGAGGATGATGATGAATTGGGTGTCTTGACGAGAGGGCGTATACCTTTGACGAAAGATGTTTTACAGCGATGGATGATGTTTGAATACTCATGCAGCAACCCCTTTTCAATCATGGATGAAGGATGATTACGGCGGCAGCAATGAAGAATATGATGACACTCTTATCCCTGTTCCCTCTATCTGATTTACCCGTTTCTTATTCAATCATGTTCCTTTATCATATTTGCTCGAAAAACATCCACGCTACACATGCTATTCTTCAACTTCTTCATTAAATGAGAATTGGATTTAAATAATGTTTCGAAGGGTATCGTGCTATCAGCTCACATGGTCAAGATGTGGGTAGTTTGGTTGGTAGAGATTTGGAGATCAGGAAGCGAGGTTGAATCATTTACATCATCGTATCGAGATCCTTTTATTCTTTGTCACAGCATTACTACATTCGTTAAAGTTTTCTAGTTCATATGCTGATAGACGAAAGATAGATGGTCATTGGATGATATTGGAAGAAGAATCACTAAAGGGCGTGTCTCATGTTGGTATTATTACTCGAACGCTTGTATTGCAAAGTTAATAAATTTGGAAGTGATGATGCCCAACATAGTGCTTGTTACATACATACCCTAGTGGATACTTGTCTTTGTTAGCGATCCATGATGTATTAATACATGTGATTATCTTTAGCGTTTCATTGTTGCCCTAGCACCTCATTGCATTGTCATTGTTGATGTTGGTTCTTTTATTAAGGTCGCCTAATCTTCTTTCTTGATGATGCTATGTACCTCCCCAGGCGCATGATGGTGATGATACAACCGCGTCCTATACACAACAAAACCTTGTCTCTGTACCAATAGCCATACAATAATCCACCTTGCTGATTGACATCAGCCTTACACATTAAGCCGGGACCTTGCATAAGGATTCTACTCGAGAAGCAATAAACCCATCAGGACCCCCTTTTATTTTCTTTGTCACAACATTTGCACGTGAATGTAATTTTACGACTTGCATCACACGACGAGATCCAACCCACAAAACAAAGACGAGCATTTGATATGTATCATCTCATCATTGTACCTTCAACATTTTCAAAGTCATGTATGACTATTCTTTATATAGAGATTGTGGGTTCAGTTACTATGTACATGCTTTGTGGATAAGGAACGTTAAATCATGTGATCACTCATGCACTATCAAAAGGTTCCTTACAGATTTTTTAGGCGCAGCGGAGGACAAAGGAGGGTGGCAGGATACAAAACGAGACACGCACGTTTTTCAGGTGTAATAAGGCCTTGTCTTTTCTTCCTTCTCGAATGAAGTATCCTTCACAGCTGGTGTTTGCACCATTACCAACAACAAGTGTCATACAGCACACTGTCAAATATGAACCGCGATCCGAGCATGGTGTGGAGGAGAACACTTTGCAACCCAAAGTCGTGCTGCATCGCTACAAGGGAGACTTGATCTACGCACGACTTGTCAACAACAATACCAGCTTAGAATTGCGACGCTATATTCTCGATTCAAGCGACACTACAAAGGATCAGCAATCGCCAGTTATTTGTGTCAACTACAGCACGGCTATCGCATCGGATATTGTGTTTGTCAATGGGGATCAAGGTCTTTATTGTTGGATCGTGTCTGTGGACGGTCAGCTTATTCGACACAAGTTTCAAGTGAACGACCTCTTTGCTACCAACACCAACACAGTGATAGATGGGCCAAGTCCAACGACATACCTTGACCCTATTGTGCGACCTATCAAATCGTTCATGAACAATCAACTCGTATCTCTTTCGGTAACAGCATCAGGCGTGGCCACTCTTGCGTTTGATGATGGTTCTCTCGTTCATATTCAAGATCTTGAACTACACAATGCTCCTGCAACACGTGAAGGGTTGAATGTGATTTACAAAGGTAGGATCGTAAACGAAGTAGTAGGCTTTATTGAAGCTGACATTTACGTTTATAGATGATGCTGTTTGCGAATACCAGATCCATGAACTTAGCACATTTGCTCCATTTGTTTTATTACGACGCGTCGGTGGGATGGTAGGATGGAATGGTAGTGCATCCATGGGTGCATCCAGCGCACAAGTCTATATATCAGCTCTGGCATCCCGAGATCGTACGACTATAGGCGTGCTTCAAGATCATCAACTATCGATATGGAAGGATATGACATCTACAACGAATCCAAAGCTTCTTGAATTGCCACAATTTGATGATGCTCACCAACGACTGATGGATACCGAAGAGCAAGATTTGACATGTCAATTCCCTGGCAGCTTCGATCCACCTCCATTGGATAATCACCATGACCAAGACCCAGCACTTTCCAGTGACAATCATACACCAGATTATCTTATTCGGATATCCCCTTGTGGATCGATCGCTATCATCTTCGTTGGTGCCAAGACCTCCCCTTATTTCGTCATTTACGACATTCAATCGAATCGATTTCTACGTGTGGTGATGATACCTTCTTCGTCGGATGATGATCAGCAGCCATTACAATTTGCGGGATCCATCAAAGACAATGTTGTACGGTTATGGGTTGTATGGGCAACACAAGAAAAGCAGCTGGTGCTCTCTACGGTGGATGTATCAGTGTCATCAGCGAATACCAATGATCTGGTCACAAGCCCCGATTGGCAACAAATGCTTTCATGCGATCACTCGACTCCTTCAGCAGTGGACATCTTGTTACTAGGCAGCACACAATTGATGATGGCAACTTCCAACACTCTATCAGCAGCACGTGATTTAGATCAAATTGACGCCGCTTTCTTACAGCATTCATCCATTGAAGATGCCGGTTGCCAAATGGTGTTATCAACATTATCATCCATTTCTGATACGCTCGATACCAATGCACGTCAACGTCTCGAGACTCAACTTCGATCATGTTTCCCACAAGGATCACCAGAAGAGCTTTACAAACAGCACGGCCTCAAAGATGTGGATATCAGCAATACACCAACACTCGACAAAAACGACATTGGCAAATTGCTAAACTTGATGGTACCAGATGATGCATCACTACCAGCTGAAGATGCTCAACAACACATTGGCACTATGATTCAATCATTGATTATATCAGCAACTTCTCAAATTGTCACTACTCGATTCAACATTGCATTTTCATTATTGACGTTATTGGCACACGCTGTTTATGGTGACGGTGATACATCATTGAAAGAGCTTATGTTATCGACATGGGAACTTTTACGCACATTGGATGCATTGCGATGGCTGGAATCTGAAGGCAACGATATGCGACAAGTATACCCTGTCGTCCTGGAGAAGCATAGTTGGGATATTGGTGCATCTGCTTATCATCGGGTGGCAACATTGGCTAAACCGGATATGTTGATTGAGATTGCCGACATGTTAGCTGTTCAAGGTGACACCGAAAGAGCGATTGCGTTGACACGATTATTCCTTGACAACAAGCAATTAACCATGGCGATGGGTGGCAAAAAAGGTGATACGGTGCGAGCTGTCCAATGCCGTGGATACCTGGCAAACAAAGAATTCGATCATGCAGTGGAAGTGCTTCAACAGGTGACGGATCCCGCAGTACAAAACAGGTTGCTGGATGACCTATTGGATCGTGCATATACATCAGCAAATTACGATTTCATCTGTAAACGGTTACAGCCTCTTGGTGTATCTCGTGTTGGTGATTGCATTCGACAAAAAGCTGAAAATCAAGTCAAGGTGGACACCGATACGGCAAAGGATCATTTAAGCTGGTGGGAATTGGGTTACTCCTTTTATGCACTTGCCAACCACATGGAGCAAGGTAATCTACTATAACACTACATGAGCATGTCAAACATCGAAAACTAATCACCCATTTGTCATAGCGTACGCATGTATGCGACTGCATATGGAGCAAACAGGCAACAAGGACAAGGTGTTGATGGACTTCTTTTCTGGAAAATAAAACGCTACACATGTAAATTATTGATTCAATGTCTTTGAAATGTATTGCTTTTTAAACGTCAATTGAATAATATTTTCTACAAATCATGAAAGTGCTACATATATATGATGTGTTGCTTGTCCAAATGCTGTAAGCCCAAGGTAACGGGGTGGATCTTTAGTCAATGTCCATCTCGTTTTCCTTTTCACCCTGTGACTCTTCCTTATTTCCTTCGTCGTCCTCTGTCATTTGGGTATCAGCTTCGGGCTTGGGAGCAGGCTTGGGCTTGTTGAGGATGGGGGTAGCGAAAGCAATCACAGCATTCTCTTCTTGTGCAATATCTCGAGATAGCAATACTGGTGTATCGTACTTTGGCACATTGGCTTGCTTGGCTAGTTGATCGTCCAACCATCGACGAGCACGCTCCGCACGATCAACAATATCCTGCTTATCTTGAGGAGGAATGTGTGAATACTTTTCATCTTGGCTCATGGCTTCTTGAGTCAACCGTTCAATCGTATTACGCAGGCCACGTTCAGCACTAGGTCGTTCCTCAGCTTCACGATAGCGCTCGACAACAGGGTCACCAATCTTTTTGAGAGCATTCAGTTTCTCAACATAGACTGACTTGGGTTGATCATCGCCTTCATCATAAATCCAATCCACCACGGCATTCAAATCTTTCAAGAATTGATCTTTGACCTACGCATAATAATAGACCAGTAAGTAAAATGAAACAAGGTCCTATATATAATACTTACTCCAGGATCAATATAGGCCGCATAGGGACCTTCCACTTTGTCACGCATCTCATATCCATATTCCTCGAGCGAATTCTTGGCAGCTTCAGTAGCAGCAATCAACTTGTCGCTGGAGGACATTTGACTCTCTTGTTCAATGTACTTGTCCATAAGAGGCTTACTCAAAGCAGTGGTGCCCGAGACAACAGGAAGATCGGCCTTCTTGACCAACTTTTTAGTCTTCTTGGTTTCCTTTTCGCCATCCTTGTTGGTGATCTCTTCAACATGTTCCTTTTCTTCCACTGTGTATGCTGATTCGACTGAAAGGATACCATGGATGTTGAGTCTAACCTTGACCTTGATGTCAGAAGGTTCGCCAGAGCTGTTGGCAGGTTCAACATTCTTGATAGTGAATTGGCCGATCCAAGGGTTGATGCCACGTGGGATTTCTTCGGGATGGACATAGGACGCGTACAAAGTGAATGGCTCGCTTCGAGTGAAAGTGAGGATCTTGGTGGACGGGATACTATTGTTGCGATCAAAGACAACAATCTCCGTGTCATCTTCTTCAGGCGTTGGATCCCATGACAACTTGATTGGATAGCTGCAAATATCATTGACACGGAAATCACGCACTTTGAAAACGGGAGAAATGATAGCGCATTGAAGGGCTGCACCACGTGAAATGGCTTCATCTTGATTGAGTGTTGTGGAAATCTCTTTGCCAAGGACCTGCTTTACAGTTGTTTTGATGGCAGGAATGCGGGTTGTACCACCAACGAGCTCCACTGCATCAATATCAGCAGCTGACATGCCTGCCTTGGCCAATGCCTTTTGTAACGTATCAGCTGTACGACCAAAAAGATGCTGTGCCCATTCCTCAAAGTCGCTACGATTGACAATGGTGCTAACGTCTCGATCTTCCATGATGGATTCAATGTTGACAGCTGCCTGAGGATTGGCTGATAGCACACGCTTGCACTTTTCAGCAGCCACACGTAAACGAAGGATTGCTTTCTTGTTGCTCCACACATCGATCTTGTACTTTTCCTTAAACTCGAAGGCAAGATGTTCCATAATAACTTGATCAAAGTCGCGACCACCGAAATGGATGTCGTATGCAGCGCTGCGTACCGTCAACTGGCCTTTGACAAAAGAGACCACTTGAACAGAATAATCGGAATGGCCGATATCCACAAACACGACATTGCGTGGTTTTTCTTCTGGCAGATCCAATTTGGTGATGCCATAGCCAAGAGCTGCCGCTGTGAGATCATTCACCAAACGTAAACAGTTGAGACCTGCAATTTCAGATGCACTTAGCACCGCACGACGTTGTGAATCGGTGAACCAGCCGGGCACGGTGATGACACAATCGGATACAGCGTTCTGGATCTCATAGGCAGTGATGTCTCGTAGCTTCCCAAGATACATGGCAATAAGTTGGATATTGGAAAACGTTTGCTGTTCACCAAGATAATTAACCTAATCGATGCATAGTAGTAGTGGTAGTGTGAATACGTGACACGTCAACAACAACAATCACCCTTTTATTTACCTTGACTCCCACTTGACCATCAACATCCACCAATTCAACAGGTGTCAGCTTGGCTTCCACTTCTTGAATTTCAGCATCGCCCACTGTACGACCAGCTAAGCGTTTCATGTTGCTGACAGTGTTCTTGAAGTTGCTCACTTCTTGGGTCTTTGCTGCTTCACCAAGAAAGCGTTGCTTCAATCCAAACGAAACCAGCGAGCTATGTTAACAACTTTAGTACATCATACACGTGGTCCTAAACGATAACTTACGGTGTAGCGCGATTGGAGACCTCATTGCAGATAACGTCAATGCCACGATTGCGAGCAACCGAAATAACAGATTGCAGATTGCCCAAGTCAAAGCCCTAAAAGAAGATAGCTATAGGTTAAATAAATGAGTGTTATTACGTGTCCAAGCAACACCTACCACGACAGACATGTTTTGTTAAAAGAGAGAAAGAGAGAGAGAGAGCGAAAGAGAGGCGGCGTAAGAGATAAAGAAAGGAAGAGTCGGATCACAATCCCGCTTTTTGACTCAAAGAGGGAAAAGGGAAGGTTCTGGTATCACATTGAACCATTTTAGTGTTCGGAATCAATGCAGACATTTTTTTTGCGGGGGTTGGTTACACGAATGCAAAGCAATCATCCATGGGTTTCTTTTCTTTTATTATCCACGTCCAACTTGTCTACCAGGTAAGGCTCCTCCTGCTCCTCCTATGGCTCCTGATCCACTCATATCCGATATATTACTTGCATTATCAAATGAATCGCGTCGTTGGATTTCTTCGGTTGGGGTCGATAATGGAGGAGGTCCTCGTGTTATTGGGTGGTGATGATGATGATGATGATGGATAGCTGTTGCTCCATGGGTGGCCTTCACGCGACGTACACAATGATTCAAAGCCTCTAGCCATGATATACGTTCCATTTCAGAGCTGGCACATAATATATAGCTGCGCTTGAGGATGATGATCTTGAAGCAATGTCGCTTGTTTTTACTGACTGGGTCGATTTCCAAAGAATCAATGATGTGACTTAGAGGAACAATACGATGCGGCACATATTCCTAATACATATCAAACATCAATGCCCGATCCATGAATATAGCAATGTCACATTTACCTTTTCATCCTTATAATATGCAATAGTATCAGGCCGTAACACAAACCAACGCTTGCGCCAACTCTATGGTAACAACGAAATGAGTGAAATCTATCAAGATTGGTGGCTGTCAAATTACCTTGTTACGACACAATTTGAGCAAATAGCCATTCATTAATACGCGATTCCTGCTTTCCTCTTGCAATGCTTTTGACATGTCTTCAGTCCAGCTATATTCATCATCGTCGTCATCCTCATCATCCGAGCTAGCGAATCCTTCCATCACGTTCATATCGGCATTAGGAGAGAGAGGGTAGCTTTGATTGGTTGAATAGGCTGCGAGGCTAGTGGATTGTTGTTGTTGTTGTGAATTGGCCTTGATGGGGATGTTGACAGGTGGCACGTGATTGTGGCGGCGTACCATGGGCGGATCATTGTCCTCATGATGATGATTTTCCGCTGCTGCCATTTTGGTTTGCTCAATGGATATGGTCCACCCTTTCATCTCTTGTTCACTAGGAGCTTGCAAGTAATAGGTGCGCTTGGGAGTGGTAATGGCAAACATGTACTTGTACTTGGCTTTGGAGGTGACATGAACAACACTGCGTACTTGATCCAAATCAACAATGCGTAACAACTTGTATTCCTGCAATAAACAAACAAACAAATCAGATCGCACAGGATTCATTGTAAAATGCATTAAAGTACCTTGTCATCTTTGTAAAATGCAAGCTTGGTTGTCCGTAAAACGAGCCATCTTTTCTTCCATGTCTACACGACACATCATCCAAGGTAAGTTTTCTTCTCATTGACATCATCGACAATGAACTTACTCTTCTTTTCTCTCCCTTTTTAAGAATGTATCCTGATCGAATGACTTGCTCCATTTTCAAAAGCTCCAACGCCTGCTCAGGTATCACGGGTTCATCTTCTTCGCCATCGGATCCATATCGATTCACTTGCCCTGAAGCCTCGTCGTCATACAAGCAGTCGTCGTAGTCGTCGTCTTCTTCATCACTCAACGCAATGCGATTGACATGGCAAGCAAGTTCGGTCTCTGCTGGCAACGATTGCATGTTGATCTCGATGCTAGAGCATTAGCAAACTAAACGATCGCTCTTGGAGATGGTGGAGGAATGCGAATGCGGGGGGAAATGCTGCAGCAAAAGAGGCGGGCGTTGCTGTCAAACGGAGGTTCAGTCAACTACAACAGCCAGTAAGAGTGATCGAATTCAATTGGTATCATAGCAACAAGCATTGAGTACAATGCAACCCTACGTTATCGGTTGGCCCCTTTTCCTTTTGACTACGAGACCTTGCTATTCCTGCAATTCAAGCTGTCATCAATAAAGAGCTTCTTTATGACACACCACATTGATTACATTTGCATATTATTAGTATTAGATGGTTCCATGCGTATAAAAAAGACGTGATAACGAAGGAGTCATCAGCGAGAATAAAAATCATCACAAGTCATTTATGGTAAAAGAAAGCTGTAATACTACATACTACGAAAGGGAGATGATGGGTGCTTAAGCTACTTTATCGCCATGAACACGAACGCGGTAGATGCATGTATAATCATCTTGGCCCCAATTACTGAGAAAACGAAACACTACAGCCTTGATAGGAGGTGAGGCGTGCTTGAGCTCAAAAGTTTGCACCGAAAGACTCTTTGTGATGTCGTACATGAATCTACCAAGGTAGATAACATCATTGTCCACCACAGATGCTAAGGAATCCCAAGGATACTTCCAGGAGCGCTCCTCATTGTATTTTCTCAATCCCCATACTTCAAAATCCCCTGGTGCACTGCCCATGGCAACGGCTTGGTGCTGACCTAAGTAGTCAACCGAGATTGCTTTCACTGCCACGGGATAGCTTAATTCCACACCGAGTGATCCATGTTTGCCAGCCATAGGCCAACATTCACCAGGACTTGTCCATGGCAATAGAGCAACAAGAGGGCTGGAGGTAGATCGTTGATTGATAACATCTTGTTGTTTCTTCTTGATCAATGTGGAAACCCACCCCTTGTCATTTTCATCACCAAAGGTCGGTGATGTAAGCTCCGTTAGCACGCGAGATCCAAGTGTTGCCAATGCAAAGTCATGCAAGGTATCCTTGCTTTGGTCGCATCCACCCATCGCTATAAAACGCCGACATGATTTACAGAGAACGGTATTGGGATTGAACATCCATAACCATTTTGGCAACATTGAAGAGAAAAATCCATAAGGACATGGTTCCGTTGCCTTGAAAGCCTCGTAATCGTCGAACGACGATGGTGTTGAGAAGGGTGACCTTGATGTGGTGTTATCGCTAAACGTCGTTTTTTCCATGCCTGCTTCCCACTCGATTGCCTTGGGTTTCTTTGGGTGCCACATGTGCTCAAAGGATGATACGATGTTGGTGTGCGTTATTTCCAAGTTTGTTTCTGCCATATTCATCATGCTCTCGTGCACAAAAGGTATCAACAAGGCAAATGCAAACCATGCTGCCGTTCTCCGAATGGTCACCCTGGCTCGGCCTCTCATTGTCTCTGTGCCACGAATCAAGAACATTCTTTGTGGATTGACGTAGTCGACATCTCGAAAATAACCAAGTTTCCTTAGGACGAACGCTCCAAAGTTCTCAAGGTGCGAGGTAAAGAACAAGTCGATATAAGCAAAAAAGCTGAATACGATCTCCTTGAATATGAAAAGAGTAAGCAATAGCGTAGCCTTCATTTGTATCTTCAAAGTTTTCAAAATCTTCGCCGTTAGAGGTATTTCTTCTTCTTGCTGTTGTTGCTGTTGTTGTTGTTGTTGCTGGTGCAGCATATATGCATCATCATCAACATCCTCAATGAAATTGATTAAGACCCGACACTTTTCCTGAATAAAGAGCACTAAGATCATGTTAGATACAAGCTAGCGATAATATGTTCTTACTCTTATACGTACATAGAAATTCGATAGCTCCTAGCAGAATGATGGTATACAACCAAGCTTCTAGTTCTCGATTTCCTTGCTGTGGGGAGCCTGGTGGAGACATTGCGGGTGAGCCTGGTGGGGATCCTGCTGGGAGGCCGCCTGAGATATGAGAAGACATGGTGTAAAGGATAGCAAAAATGGCTGTGTACGATAAAAATGGTATACGGGCTTTTATAACGCATCAACGTCTGCATGTTTTGCTCGGGTCTCGTTATCCAAGTATGCACACAATGAACACGCTAACAAATCTAGAATACGTAATAGTGCAAGTCAAATACAAAGGGCATCTCGTTGTACGTTTAATGTATATCCTTTTTTACCAATATGGAAACATGTCCCTTTTAGGTATTGGGGACGTCGACTTAGGATCGTGATGGTTCTTGTTAAACAATCCCTCTCACCCACATTGTAGAGAAATGGCCACAACGCCATCGATCTAACAATCCAACAGCTATGTAGAGTTGTAAAAGAACCAACCAAGGTCAATGATTGTTTTTGCGCTGGATACGGTATCATGAGCTTCAATGTAACAATCAACCATTGCATTGTCTTTTTTCTTTGTTGAGTTTAAGGGATAATGAGTGCACCCATCCTCGATCCACAATTTCTATCCTAATACAAGCTTCATGGATACAGATTACACCTTGGGTTATACTGTGCTCTCGATTTCCTATCTATTCATACGCATTGGAAAAAGGTCTCAGTTGCTGGTGTGTGGTTTATGCATGGCATGGACGAATGTGTGTCATTGTCTGCAATTGATCAAGCTCCGTCCAAGGTGAGCACAACACCATGAGACCTGTTCTCTTTGTGAAGAACTCAATGACACCACCATCACCAAATAAACGTTTGAATCACTGTTGGAGTTTTCAATTTATTATTAGAGGTGGGGGATATTATATGTAATGATGATCTCTTATCGATGTGTATGTGAATGAGGCTCAACCACAACAATGATACTTAAAGGAGCCATCGTTGACCAGTGAGAGCATGGAGCAAGACACGAATACCGGATGAATGGGGGTTTGCGAATCCGAGTCGTTTGGCAAAAAGCTGGCCCACAAGGATGAGGATACCATGTATCACTTGCATGATACGATTACGCATAATGATACAAGCTATTATCCAATACAATGTGCCACGATGTTGGAAGATCTTGTTGGCGAGTCGATAGATGATGTGCTTGATTTGTTTTTCCATTTTGATCAATAGCTGCAAGACGAAATGCATATTGCGTGCTGGGGAGGAGGATGGTGTCGTAGATGTTGGTTTTCGGCGTTCGAGATGAGTTGTCTCTTTTTGGTGTCGGTACGAATCGGTAGTGGTTGCATGTTGTTGCGTTTTTGTGAGATCAATTTCACTGGGTACGGGTGTTGTTTCTCTTGGTGTCGCATATTCGCTACTGCTATCGTCATCTGCAATTGCTGTACCAAACGATGGGGTATACAAATCGGCATCATAATAGAGGGATGTACTGGAGCTGCTTCGACTCAATGTGCCTAATGGTGGTAGTCGTTTGTATACTGTATCATGTGCCAAATCCCATGGAACCGGATCTGCCATTTCAAGTTCTATAATAAATGACGATGATGATGAGTTCAGTTGTTTTTAAACAGGATACGCTGCAAGCTTACGTTGAAGCAGTTCTTGATCATCGATAAAAGAGGCGAGATCCGATACTTTGGGGAAGCATACTCGCTTTTTGGCTTGTTCAGAAAGCAGTAATTTGATCATCTGCCATAATCCTTGATACATCCATCCGAAATTCAAAAGACACACAGTGCCAGTCGATGAAGGGAATCGTCGTAGTAATTGAACAAACGAGGTAGCCAATTGTCTGTCCTATAATTGGATGCTTTGTGAGACCTATTATGCACAAACAAAATGCGGCACGAGCACGAGACGTACCCTTGGGAGAGTTTTTGCATTCCTAAAGTCGACCAGCAACACTGTTTCCGTAACAACGGGATTTGGCACACCTTGTTGCAACCGCTTCAATGTCGTCTCCAACATGATTCGACGAGCTGTCTCAAAGACAAATGTGACAAAAGGGGTCAAGAAACTTGCAGCATCTCCGTTGACTGTTGGATGATGACATAACTGGATGATGAGCAATGGTCGTCCCAGCCGATCAAGGCCTCCAAAGAAACAAAATGCATTTTCAAAAAAGCAAGGATCGAGATCATCAGCAGTAGTTCCACCAATATTGTTGTTGATTCTCCATTTGATGGTATCCACCATGCGTGAGAGGGTATGTGGTCGAGAAAACTCATTCTTAAGAAGGAACCGGAATATGGTTACTATAGGATACAGCAGCATAAGAACATTCATTCAATAAAGCATTAGCCCACCATCCACCCAAATACTCACCTCGATCATGTATGTATTCGTCTAACGCAGCAGTTTGTTCCAGTGAAAGCCCATGTTCTTGAACCAAGAGCGGGATCTCGCGTTGCAATGCTGACTGTATACTGTCAATAGCCGACTCATGCTCTTTGTAAAGTGCATTCAATTCTGCCAATCGCTCTTCGCCAATGTCCATGCTGTTGTATAGCAACAAAGGAAAGGAAAGGAAGTTGTTGAAAGTAAAAGAGACAAGTGGAAGGAAGAAAGAGTATAAGAGCCACCACTACCACCACTCTCCGCAAAAGTATAAAGCTGCTGCTGCTGTTGGCACCGTGCACCTCCATTCGAATGGGAACCCAATTTTGTCCGAGATCACCCAGGTCGCACCAGCTTTCCAAATACGTTCATCCTTTACAAATACTTGCCCCAGACGAGCAATGATAAATGCAAACAACTCATCTTTTATTACCAAATCATCAAAATCATGCTATCTCTATTATACATTGAAACTCATCACCAAATCCTTGATATGCAGCTTGACGCAACGTTGCGATGTCCATTCAAAGTGAACCTGTTGCAACTGTTGATGGGGATCCGTAATAACTATAATAATCAGGTTTCAACATGTTTGTCCTCACATGATAAATGCTGGAATTCGCTTACCAAGAGGTAGTGCAAATGCAAACACCTTGTACGCCTTTTGTGCATCTCCTTCGCCATGACGTGTAAGTCCTTGCGATAGGCTGCTGGTTAATACGCCAAGTAGGCTGATGTTCGAATACCATACTCGGACCGTCTTGTCTTCTAACGAACTTGTGGCAACGTATTTGGCATCAGGTGAAAAAGCTAAGGCTGCAATGGCTCCCGTATGTCCCTACCATTATATAATCATCAATAAAAGAAGAATCTCCATTACACCCATTGAGCACACTCTCTCACCTCGAGAACCACTGAACGAGTTGCAGTGCGTAAATCATAAATAACACAAGCACCTTCAAGCGTACCAACTGCCAATTTTTGGGCGCTATTGCTGAAATCCACAAATGGATAACTTGAATGATAAAATAAGTACTTGTGGTCCATTGAAATGATTGATAGCCTATATACGTTACCTTTTAACCAAGCTGTGCAGCACAGCTGTTGCCGTAGGAAGCATGTTCTCTCGAAGATGTGGGACATTGGGATCGAGTGTCTTGACAACGGCTTCCACAACGCGATGCACATCACCAAAAAGTAATATGGGTTTCTATAGCAGTTTCCTTTTAAGTGACATGCAACAACAACAAACATCTCATATCTCTTTTACCTTGCGAATAAATGTGCCAATGATCTTTAAGCAACGAATGCGTTCAGATGTCTTTTTGGCCCGTGTCGTATCATAAGTCAAAGTACCAATGACCAAAGGCATGTTGGTGGCAGCGATTTGGAAAATTGCATTGTTGGCTCCTCGACTCACTGCTGGCTGTGGATCCAAAGCATATACAAACATGGTCCTTAAGACTTCGGCAACATTGATATACGATTCCCATGTGCTGAATCCCTGACTTAAGAGCTCCATAGAGGCAAGAGTACGAGCGACAGAGGCTGTGGATGGATCAGTGCCATGAGCCTTGGGGTCATCCAAATCTGAATCCGACAGTAAGAGCGCAAGACTAAGGGCGGTGTATTTGCGTACGCTTTTGATTCACGCAATGGTTAGCATAAAGAATCCAAGATCATCCCACTCATCAATGTAGCTCACCCTGAATTTAGCATTTGTGGTTGATCACATCCCATAATACCAAGAACAATGGTTGCACGCGCCATCATGTGAGGATTATGGTTGTCGGGTGAACTAGATGTTGGTACTATGACATAAAGTTAGAACCACTCCTCATCCTTCATTGTTGTATACTTACAATAATTCTCCCAATAAGCAATCATTGCCATGGTTTCATCTTCTTTCAATCCTGTCACAGCACTGGAAAATAGGGATCGGGCTATTCAACGTGATTCATTTCAATGAGCCGAGATGGAAATCACCAATAAAGTAGAGATACTTACCAGAGTGATCTTGCCAGTACTTGCTTAAAAGAGAGAGTGATGGGAAACAATAGCTGTCGCCTATTACAGGAGGGAGGGCCATCGCATAACCAGCTATAAGATCAGACGCCTTTGCTTCTTGGCCTATGCATTGTACATTAATCAGACCGATGAAACATACACCTCCTTTGATAGGATATTACCGGTAATAAAGATAATGGCCTTTGCCAACAATGCCACTGAAAGTAGCCTGGAAGCTGTCATCACCTGCGATACCTTCCAAGTATCCTTTTCCTCGGGTATCGGCGCCAAGAGTGACAAGTAACCGTTTGCCCTGTCATCATCAATAATGAGCCAGCATTCCCTTCCGCCAAGCCATCGCCATCGAATACACTTACCCTTTAAGCCCAAAGCTGATTGCATCGTGCCTTGTTTGCCTTGATAGCGCCAGGGTAGTACAACATATATCTTCAAATGCTTGGCTGACGTTCCAAGAGATACTCGTACTCATGATCGCTGATACAAGTTCTAGTCGTTTCTTCAAGTCGATTCCACCGGCTTGCATGCTGGCATCATCTTCGCTGATGGAATGGTCAAGTGGATCATCCTTATCAGGTCGAAAGTTGGCTATATCAGGTACTACTGCATCATAAGAGGCCGAAGATGTTGATTGCTGAGGAGTGGGTGGGACGACTAAATCAGACATTTCGTGGTTGCGAGTACGTTCATATCTTGCATACAAGTCGTGTACGAGGCGTCGTATGTTGAAAATGAAAACATGTGCAAAATGGGTGGTTGTTTGTAAAGCTAAGATGAACATGCGTTAAGAGAAATCATCCAAACAAGCACCAGCGACGCTTTACCTTGGTTGGTCGATACAATGGAACGCATAGTAGCATTATGCTTGTGTCCGTTGACAGGTTTAGGCGTTGTGGCTGTAGAAAGATCATTGATAGGCCATCTGTCATCCTCCAGAATCACTTTGCTTTGTTTCCCATGAAGCACACGATCCAACGATCCTGCTGCAATCTTTGAAAGAGTTACTTCATGTGAGAATACTTGGATCTTTCACCCTCCTACCTGCCACACAAATGCTGCTTCATCACTGTATCCAAGGACAAGGTAGTCTTCGGCTGTACGCCATTGGATGGCCGATAAGGGGTATGCATGTCCCGGGAACATGAATAAGCTAAACAATGTTACTTTAATACGTGAAGGTGAATTAAGCACTTTTGATGAAGGACATACCAGGTCATTGAATCCACTGAAATAAGTGCCACAGAATTGTCTTTTGCAACAGACACGACACATCCTCGTATCCTTGTATCGTTTTGTTCAGCTGGCTCGATGAACGACTTGACAGCCAAGGCATGCACTGTAAATGATACCACGTATTTCCCATCTCTACAACATCCATACCTCGAATCAGCAATTGATCACCCAATTACAGTGCATGTTCATACTTACACCAAATTCCATATTTTGACGGCACCATCGCGACCTCCTGATAGCAGGTATTGATGTTGATGTGATTCATGCACGATCATGCACGTGACTGGACCATCATGCGCTCGCTTAAATATCCGCACATCTTGACGATGATCCATTACTTGAGACAACGCCGGCATATGTAACAGAGCCAAAGCCAAGGGTACCACACAAATCGTTCCATTTTCTAAAAGGACATATAAGTACACATCATTCGTCTCGTATTGTATCAAGCAACTTACCATAACCAATTGCAAGGTGATTGCTGCTGACAGGGATTGTTGCTGTTATTGACCCAAATTGAGGATCGCACATGGATTTTTGTGGCCAAATATCTTGTAGGCTAGTTTCTTTGCTCGTCAGACTCAGTTAATCATTCCATTGAACACAAGCATCATTTCAAGGGTGATATATATATACCTCGGCATTTGGTTTCTCCATCCTCATCTCCATTTAGCACGTTGACTGAAAACGTTGAATTATCCGGATGGTTGCCAAAGGTAACTGCTATCGGTGATGATCGATCTTGACATATTGCTGTGACCCATCGACCTGGAACCAGATGATCTTTTGTATGATGGCATAAGTCTTCACATCTTCCAACTACTCTTCATCCATATCCCATTTTTTACCATTGGTATCGAAATAATAAGTGTGCATCAGCGAGACACTATTAGCCAAAGTCAATACTTGATGCACCAATCCAACAATATCACTATCCATTACCTGTAGTACAATTGATTTTCATCTTGTGCCATTCTCCCAGGATCAACACCAGCTGGCGGTTTGAGGTAATATTCAAAGATCTTCCCATTCTACAAGGTAATACCGATAGGTGAATGGGTGTGAATCATCACATCATGATAATAGCAACTTACCTGTGCCCATAACAGCAGCTTGTTTCCTTTGCAGAATTCGGCACTAGACCAGCTCGTGCCAGGTTCAGTGGGGATGGTAACTTCGGGCACAAAGGCTGAGTCCCTTAATACAAAGATCTATAACGCAACCTTGTTTAGAATTGGTAAACCAAATGATCCTGTAAAAAACTTACAATTGCATTCTTGCGCGTAAGCACCATACATAATCCATGATAGAAAGGACAGCTCTTTAACCCAATCACTCGATCGGATGTGGTTTCCTTGATCAACCTTGGCTGGTTCTCGGACGATCGATCTTTGAAAATAACTTGACCCGCGACATCAAAGTCCCAGATATCCAATTTGCCATCCATGGTAACCGTCACCAGCCTTGACCTTTTAGCAGCTACATAGGTTTTCAATGTAAGCAAAAGGAAACACGTTGATACATATCCATATACACGAACCTGGATCATAGAAATCAGCACATGTGACCCAATTGGGATGGCTACCCCAAACACGAACGACCTACACCAATGTCAGTGATACAAATAGTAAGTGTATTGTGTTGCATGAATTACATACCTCGAGCGTTGTCGCGTTCAAAATGTTGATCTCGTTGGATTGGCCGCTGCAAAAGATGTATCGATCCTTGGCCTATCCCATCATGTAAGCACCTTCCACTGGATACTCGATGCATAAAAAACAGCTACCTGGCTGAATAGCTTCAAATCGGTCGGCACTCCCAAAAAGCCCTTTGCATTGACTCCAAGACATCTTCCATCCGAAGCATTCCACTGTGCGATCTCACTATGTATGTCCATGTTGAGGATGATGTATACACTGATGGAGACTCTCTCTATCGTAACATACCCATCTTCGGAAGCACTGACCAAGATATCATCGGATGTGGCAGATAGGTCGTTGGCTCGTTGTCCTCCCTTGATGACACAGAGTGCAGCGATTGGCGCTCGATGGCCCACGAGCAAGAGTTTGTACTAGATTGTATTCAAGTAGAAGGTGTCAACGACGAGGGTCAATGGCTTTGAATGAAGGAGGGGACATGAACCTGAAGCTGCTCAGCATTATGCATAGTGTACACCCAAATGTGCCCATCTCTTTGTCCCGCATAGACGTTTGGATAGCTGCAAGTGACGCATGTCGTGGTCGGATTACTGAAATTATGCCATACAACGAGCGGCCATGATATCGTCGATGCCATCGAGTATTGATAACAGAGGAAAACGAAAAGAAAAAGGAAAAGAGAGCGTGTATGCTCGGAACGCGAGTTCCGTTTCGGGCGTGATAAGTATCGGGGTCAAGACTTATATGGAGCAATTGTATTATCATCACACACACACACATACAACTCGAAGGATAGCAACAACTTTTATGATCGTGGTTCATCTTTGACCAGACAGCATATGAAACAAGCTAGAATACTAGATGTGTATGTGCCTACATGTTAGCATTAAATAAACAAGGGGGGTGGTTGTAGTAGTAGTAGAGTTTGCTTGCATTACCATCCTAGCCAACATGGATCCTTGGGAGATGCTGAAACAGTATTATGCACAGTGACAGATGCAGGAGGAGGCGTCGGTTGATATTCTGTATCATCGATTATATTAACGACATGATGACATGAATGTTGTCTCTGCAATGATGATGATGATGATGATGATGCTTGCCTTCAAGTATGCTCTTCCTCTTTGATTGATTTGGTGGTTGTGGAGTTAAGAATCTATCGGGTTGTTCATTGTTTTGTTTCTCATCCGAGGAAGGCTGAACAAGGGTATTGCTGCTGTTGTCTGTCATGTAGTTCAAAAGGAAGAGAAAGAGAAAGAGACACACTATTAAATGCTAGTGAAGGGATGAAAAGGGGCAACGTTCCGGGTTTGTTTACACATCAATGCCCGCTTTGTACTGACCCACACACCCAACATGTAGTACTATTGTTGTTGACGACAAATCTCTTGCCTGTTTATGGTGCGTTCCTTTTTAAGCCTCTACAATCAACTATTGCCCTTTTGTACTCTACATCGCTTCCGTGGTTATACCTGTTTCAGCCTTTATTACTGCTGCAATCATGCAACTCGTTGATCATTTCTTATGCGCCCATTGTGTGGCGCTGTATGAAAAGGTTTCCCGTGGCGTGGGTGTTTTTCCACAAACTCACCTCCTTTGCACCACCCCCATTGTTGCTGAAGCTTTAAATCCTTTCACCCTCTCTTTTTTGCGTTTCATTATCAAGCGTTGTTAACCAAGCAAAAGAAACGCTAATTGACTTTGACCCATATCTCGAGTGACATCATACAAAATTAAAACCTTTGCGCTGCCATCCACATATCCTTTAACATCAATGGCTATTATGTGGGGTTGAAATTGGACAATTGCAAAGATGTACTCTATATGGTTCAATGTTATTCGCATGAATCGAACAATGAATGCATTGGAGCCCTGTATATGGCGCTGCCTTTTACAAATCATTGTGCAATTTGATTTGCTTCATTTAAGGAGCCTGATGTTGTTTCGATGTCCCCATGATCCCACGGCTATGGGCTTTACTTTTACACGTGATCATCCCATCATGTATGTGCATGTAACACAATTGCTGTTTTAGCATTGTAAAGATCCATCATCCATTAATCCTTCACACGATATTCCTGACATCCTTACAGCTTTACACTGTTTCAGCCATTTTTTTGATACTGCTTGATGATATGCGACAAGTACTTGCTTTTGAGAACAACACGCTATGTATGCATTCAATTTCTCCTCCAGCACTTTCGTTGCCCTGATGCTTCCATCTTTTCTTTTGCTTCTCATCAACGTTTATTCCAGGTATTATTACTTTTCGGAATTCCAAATATAGAAAAGGAAAAGAAGCCATTCAAATGCATGATCTTCATCAAAACTTTGTACGACAGCCACTGAGGAGGAGCGCAAACGAGTATAAATTTCAATGTTACTATTGTTTATTGCTGACAGATATGGTATACAAATGAAGAAAGAAATGCGATGTATGCTATTGTTGATTGTTGTTGTCATTGGATTTAGGGGTGTAATCGTTGATAGCGAGCCATTCATGCTCGAGTTGCTCCATACGTTTCCGAATTCGAAAGACAACGAGTGTGCTGGCGATGGTCAAAGTCACGATGATGACGATAAGAACGATGTTTCCGTAAAGGACGACTTGGGTTGTGGGGACGTCGGTGAAGATCAAGATGGCTTTAATCGCAAACTCCAGTAGCAGGCCTACACCCCAACCGGCAGTAAGGCAAAGGTGGAAGATTCTGTATGGCTTGATCTCATTGTATAACCAGTCAGCACGGCTTCGACTATGCTTTTCACCAGCAGCATCGGTCCACGTGACAGGTGGGCTTGCTAGAAACATTTCACGGCTGACAAGGAAGGTCATGGGATAAACTTTGAACCATTTGGTGGTGAGGGGAATCAATGTCACAACGAAAAGAAGACCAATGACGAGAGTGACAAAGGATTCACGCAACAACACCACGCGTACATCACCAGTGACCGCTGATAAAGCACCTGAAATGATAAATGCAAGCACAAAGATCATACTGAGAACGTCAATGCGGCGGCGGCGAATCAAAACGTACGCCACACGAAGCAAAGGGGGGATACCAGAGCAGATCAACGCGACAATTTCTGTTGTGAATATCCGAAACACGTAAAAGATGGCCATGGGCAATCCAACATCGATGACGAGAAGGGTCAAAAGATGTCTTGCTTGTGCCATAAGGATTTGACGCCGTGACCATGTAGGCGGCTTATAGGGTTCTTGATGCTCTTCTTGTTCCTGATCCCTACTAGCTTCCGTATTTCCGTTATGCTCATGTCGAAAGAGACTACGCTCTTCATCGGATAAGCTATCGTGTTTTTGATGATGGAGTGATTGATCGTTCATTCTGGAGGGAGATAAAAGGAATTGCATAAGTGAATTGCTGTGAAGGTAAGTATTCTTTAAAATGATTCACCTTTTGAATGTGTGTGTATGTGTGTGTGTTGTGTGTTTGAAAGTTAAATTTTTTGATCTAACGGGGTTGGCTTAAATACTTCAAGGTTACAATTCTTGGCCAAGATGGGAAACTCCTAATATGGAAGAAAGCGGCCGATGTTCGTCGGGTTGTTACTTCCAAATTGAGCGACTCAACAAAGCCCCTCTTTGTGTTGCTCAGCATGACCACACAACAGCGTTGGCCATTGTTTTCACTATTCCAGATCGACCGGTTCATCAAAAAGACACTCGCTTTTTTGTTACACAGCGTACAACGACGCGGGCCACCCAAGCCAAGACTTCATCGTCATGTATCACCTTTTCTAGTTATATTTACCTGTACAGGTATTAAATGAATACACGCATCTTTATTTCTGGCATTAGCACGTCATGATCATTTTTCATTTTCTTTCGCCTACACCTCCATTCTTGTGATACGGAAACCGGAATCCTTCCCTCCGACCTTCTACAATATCTGTCAAAAGGGGAATAGCTAGATGCTCCTCTTGGCGAGCAAAAGCTATGGGCAAACATACTCCCGAACATGGATCAACGAAAAGATGAATTCTCTACGATGGATTATACAATGGTTTATTATTATGATTAGGCTTGATCCAGTAAAAAGTTGGTAGCTTTTTCTAAATCTTGGTCATATCGATCTAGTGCTTCCTTTGCTACAGCGCGATCAAATCCCATGGCCAATAATTGATCCAGATTGCTTCCCGTGGGTGCAAATGCGGGGTGCTGTGGCTGTGGTGGCGTATCAACACGCTCTTGAATCTCGGGCGATTCCTCTTGTTTGGATAATTGTTCCTCTTTGGGTGCTTGATCGTCCTTTGCTTGACTAGTAGCATCATCAACCTTGTTATGCTCTTTGCCAAAATCAGCAAATGTGTCTTGAAAACCTTGCTGATCACCACCAGCAGAATCCTTTTTCTTTTCATGGTCGCCGCCACCACCAAAGATAGCATCCCATTCATCATTGCCCTTCGTAACATCATCATCATCTTGGCCAAAGTCAAATCCACCAAAGCTTGTTGCCCAGCTCATTTTTTCCTTGCCCTTGTCCTTGATTTCAGTGGATGAGGAAGGTACAGGTCCGAATGGATTGGATTGATCGTGTACAACCTTGGCATCCATAAGCTGTGTAGCAAAGATTGAATCGAAATCATCATCAAATGCTGAGCTCGTTGCTGCTGCTGCTCCAGTTGTTGTTGTCGGAGCATCGATCATCTTGGCATCATGTAATTCACTTGCAAAGGCAGAGTCAAATTCATCTTCCATCTCATCAGTGGGTTTCGACTTGTCGAGACTGGCATTCGACGATATCATTTCAAAGCTCTCATTCTCGCCTGAAGAAAATGATGATTGCTTGGATTTGTCAGTGGGTCGCTCCATGAACACAGCATCGAAATCTTCATTATCTTCTCCATTCTTTTCAGTGCTAGCAGGTGTTTTAGTGCTCGATTCTTCCTTGATAGCCTCGGGTGTAACGTCATCTTCCTTTTTGGTTGTGTCTGTTGTGGCAATAGCAAATGGATTGTACGATTCCCGCTTATCAGAAGCTGATGCTGTTTGATCCTCCTTTGGTGTATTGTCATCCTCCATGGTAGGACGAACCGTATCAGAAGAATCGTTTGTAGATGATGTTTCAATTGCTGTGGGGTGCTCTTCAATAGGTGATACGCGAGCTGATGTGAAATCTTCATCACTCTCTTCAGGTGCTGTGGTATTCTTCTCCTCTCCTGGAAGCGCTCCTGGCATCTTTTGACTTCCAACAGGTTCAGCTTTTTCATCATTGCGTTGTTCCTCGGCTTCAGGTGCTGTTGGCTTTTCACCTTCAGGTTGTGTATCCTTCAATGGCTCATTGATGCTTTCTTGAATATCCTTGGATACGTCAGCTGAAGGTTGTTGTTGCTCATCAGCTGTAGCAGAAGGAATCTCATCAACAACAGGTTCTTTTTCATGGTCATGCGATCCTTCAACAGCTGGTGCCTTGGTCTCATCAACCCCCTCAACCTTGGATGATTCCACATTTTCCACCTTTTACCATAACATCATTAGTTCCAACCCTTATGGTAGCTCTCTCGCTCTCTCCGTCTCTTTACCTTTGGTTGATTATCCTTGGTATCATGAGTTTCTTGGGGTTGTTCGCCTTCAGATGCATTCTCAATGCCACGTTCTTTGGGTTCTTCAGCTTCAACAGCCTTGGATTCTTCTTCATCGTGTGCATCCTTTTTATTCCCTTATTAGTAACCATCGCCACATATATCCTTTTTCGTATTTACCTTTTGAGAATCTTGCAACGCACTAGCCTCAGTATCATTGTGATCAGCGGAGTCCTTGGTTACATGATCAACCACAGTGCTGGATGCCTTGTCTTCGGATATAGCCTATACCATATTTTGAACATGTTAGCATCCATTCTACTTTTTGCATAGCATTGCGCGCTACATACCTCAGCTTCCGTTGCAGCTGGCACTGTCTCTTTGGATTCATTGTCCACCACATCCTTTTGATCAACATCCGCTTCTTTTTCTTCCTGATGTTTGGTCAATGCTGGTCCCTCTAGTGGCACTGCTGATACGGTATCTTTGGTCTCATCCGATACAACGTCCTTGGCTTTGTCATTATCATCCTCCTTGATTTCCTCAACTGCTGATTCCTCAACCACTGGCTCCTTCTCCACTGCTGATTCCTTAGCTGTTGAATCACCCTCCTTGACATCCTTCACTACTGGTTCTTCGACTGCTGGCTCCTTCTCCATTTTTGGCTCTTCAGCCGTTGAATCATCCTTCTTGATCTCCTCAGCTGCTGGTTCTTCGACTATCGGCTCCTTCTCCATCGTTGCCTCCTTGGCTGTTGAATCACCCGCTACAGGCGTTTCAATCACTTCTCCACCCTCCTTGTGCGTATCTTTTTCATGTGCAATGTCATCAACATGATCATCCTCTTTTTCCATCGCACGATCCTTGTCGGCCAAAGGCTCTTCAATCACTGCATCAGCATCCTTATGGATATCTTCTTCATGCTTGGATGCTTCTTCCTCATGGCTGGTAGTAGTCTCAGTGACGTTTGCCGGTACAATAGCATCATCATCCTCATCATCGGGGACAACAGAATGTAATAATTCGGATGGTTTTGATGATGGTTGATCCTTATCTTCTTCTTCTGCTGCTGCCTCTTGGATCTGGGGTGTTTCAGCCACAACTTGTTCGACGTTAGATTCAGGCAAAGTACTCAAATCAGAAGGTAGCTCCTGAATATTAACATGATCTTGAGCCACTGCTGATGTCGACGACGAAGTTACACCATCATTTTGTGTCACTGTTTCATCCTTGGCAACTTGTGCATTGGATTCTTCTTCACCCGATGAGCTAGTGGTGCTACTGGATTCTGTTTCCGTATCATCAGATGACTCGGTCTCATGCTGAGTAGCCAACACGGCCGCTGTAGCTGCTGTTCCTGCACCAATAGCACCTGCTGCTGCTGCTGCTGCTGATTGAGTAGGAGGTGGTGGAGGTGGTGCACGTGCTTTTTTAGTTGTGGATGATTGTTGATCTTGTTGACGACGAATGGTAGTGCGACGATGTGGAGGAGGTGGTGGAGCAGGTCGTTTTGATTCGGTGTTGGCTGTAGTAGTAGTCGTAGTGGGAGCGGCACCAAAGATAGCATCGAATTCACTGGGAGAGGCTGTTTGTTTCTCTTGTGGTGGTGATGATTCAAATTGCTCTGAGCCTTGTGGCGAAAAGATATCGTCAAAGTTGGGTTTGGATGGTTGCTCTTGTTGCCTGACGTATTCTCGCAATTGATTCAACAAGGCAATAGTGTCATCTTTTTCACTTTGTATTTGATGTACACGTTGTCGCAAGGTCTCTGTTTGTTGCCGTGAAGCATCCAAAGCCTTTTGTGTCTCAGCAATCTCATCACGCACTTGTTGTAATTGTTGAGATGCAGCATTGTGTTCCTGCTGTATTTGAATCCAACCAGGTCGTTCACTTTCAATCACACCTTTCAATTCTTCAAGTCGTTTGGTCTCCGATTCATGCATTGCCAAAATCTCGGCTCGCTGTTTTTCATGCTGCTCTTTTTGCTGCTGTGATTGCTCCAACGATACTTGCACGCTTTGCTTTTGTCCCTTTACTTGCTCAATCGTTGTCTTCACATTGGAAATCTCATATTGCAATCGATTCACTTGATTCGTATCCTCCGTGAGTTGCTCATTGTTTCCAAAATCACCCAACAAATCCTCATCTATAACAATGAACATATCAATAATGGCCTTTTGGGAGCCACTCAAATATAATTCCATACCTAGCTGTTGTTGTTGCTGTGATTGTTGTTGCTTTGGAGGTGGTGGAGGTGGTGGAGCTCGATAATGTTGTGGAGGAGGTTGTCGATATTGTGATGGATCCATGGAAGGTGGTGATTGGAACATGGATTGTCCAAGTATCGAAGCATGTTGTGCATGTGCTGCAAGAGACTTTGGAAGGATGTTGGGCAACGGCTCGCCAGCAAGTCGTTTCTGAATAAGGTGCATTGCAATTGCAAATTCGTTACGTGTCAGCCGACCTCGTTGCTCCATATCTGCCAAATCCCATACGCGTGCAAGCTCAGTATCTGGAAGTCGTGAATTCTTGAAAAAGTCTACTGCTTCGTTGCCATGGACATATCCAGTACGTTGCTTGTCGAGATTATCAAAATAGCTGTCATACTGCATCTTTTGTTGTGAAGAGATTTCCCATGTACCGGTCTGCTGCTGTTGTTGTTGTTGTTGTACTGGAAATGCTCGTGGTGGTAATGCAGACATGTATGAGATGGTGCTATTGCCTGTTGCTTGGTGTGCTACGGGTGACATGCTGGTGCGTCGAAGTACGGGTGAGGATTGAATAGAGCCTGATGCCGATCCATAGATGCTTGCTGGTAGTTGAGTAGGCAATGTCTTGATAGAACCATCCATCATTTTGGCAATATAATGCATGGCAATGACAAACTCAGTCTGATTCAAGTTGCCGGACTTGCGTACATCTGCGAGACTCCTACAAAAGGGAGATCAGCACGGGGTATACTTCCTTACACACAAACAAAAACATACCAGATTTGTGCCAATGCTTCATTTGGTAGCTTGGATTTCACAAAGATTTCTCTCGCCTTGGCACCGTCAACGACCCCCTGCACTGGATGATGGGCTCGAAATATTGTAAGATACTTTTCACGGTCGCTAGGGCTGATTGTATCTGCATTGGTCATTGTTGGTGTTGCCTCCGGGTTGATGCCTTCAAATTGGGGCAAGGGAACCACTTTAAAGCAAAAGAATGAGTAAATGACAAATAACATTGAAGCATTACCTAATGAATTTACCTGTAGATAACACTGGTTGACCCACATCTTGTCCATGCTGTGCACATGCAATCAACTTTAATGCAATGGAAAACGTCTCGGGTGTAAGGTATCCCAGATTGTCCCGGTCAGCTGTTTCCCATATCTAATCATCCATTGTCGTGTTAGTAGGTATCACTACGTAATGGTATACTCTCGCCCTCGCTCCCTCTATCTCTCCCTCTCAACTAACGTCTGATAGAATCTCATTGGGAATGCCCGATCGTGCGAAAAAGGTCACCGCCTCTGGTCCTGTGACAACATTGGGCTTGCCTCCATTGGCTGCTGCAAAGAAAATGCCATAGGCTCGCGCTTCTTGTGGCGAGAGTTGCGATTCCCAATTGGTTGTTGAGCTCATGCGTGTCGAATACCCTTACAATGAAAAGGGGCTGTAGTGTTGGTAATGGAAGCTAGATAAACCAGTATTTGTATTCAATCGAATAAAGCAAGTAGTGGAATGACTTACAGTGGTGGTGGTGGTGGTGGAAAGTGGGAGGAAGGAATATGTATGTGGGATGGGAGTACAAAGAGAGACTACGACTTGCCGCATTGGCCATGAATTTAGGCGCCATAAGTACCTCCGCCAAGACGACTGGGGGATTGTACCCGCCCAATCACCCATCATTTAGCATTGCTCTATTGTTGCCAAGGAACGTTGTTGTCTAGGCAATGTAACCTCTTCTCCCATGTATGGCATATTCGAACCAGCAAACACATTTTCTTTGTACAAATTACATGACACTAGTCGTAGCCATCCATTGATATATTACAAAATGTTGGTGATGCAAGCCGAAAAGAGGGATAGTACTTTGGGAGGAAGGAGGAATTTTAGACTAGGATCGGGTCTGCGAAAAGTTCGTCGTTTTGTCTAGATAGCCTGTATCCAAGCACAGCCCCATCACAATAGAACAAGTGAAGCACATACACAGGGAAGCTATCGCCATCAGCACTGATTTTGCAACAAGACATGCCTATAATCACGTGAATGAGTCAACAATGTGTGTGTGATGCACTTTTTCCATCTTACCATAAAGAGGTCTTCTTTGCATGTCATGATCAGGTAAATAGCGTTCATGATTGAAGATCGGTGTGTGTTGTCCATCCGCTAACTTGACTTGCAATATACGTAAGAGGGCAACGGTTCCTTTTTGACTAGCAGCGATATAAAGTTCCAGGCTGGGTATCCACTGCACCATGTTGAGCCGATCCATGGCTACTAAAAGACGATCGGATCGTACATCCACACTGCTGATAACGTTACGTTCCATTCTCTCAGTCATCATTCTTCCTTTGCTGGTCTTGAGCATGAATAAATCTTTGGGAGTCGTCAACATGAGCCGCTCATAGGATCGCCGCTTTTTCCGATGAAAGGCAACATTGGATGAACGCATCGTGTGTGCAAGAATCCTTCTCTTTTTCCCTTGGGCTTTGCTTTGCTGATCCCCTTTATCCTCCTCTTCACTTTCTTCAAGAGCATCATGCGTGGTCTGGGATTGTTGATCGTTATTCTCATCCTCATCCTCGCTATTGTCACTCCATCCTCCTTTGGTTGATACTGGAATAGGTTGTACATTAGGTGTAGTGCGTATATTGAAAGGACCTCGTTCAGCTATTAATCGATCACGTAGAATACGATGTTCGGCAGGCGACAATAACCGATGACCACCATTGGCACCCGGAAGCATAAATATCACGTTGTCATCACCATCATCTTCTTCGAACCAATCAGAGTCGTAATCGCTATGTGGATCCCATGTGGTGCTAGCAGGCAAATCCTCGGGCAATGTCATTGTCACATCGTCGTCATCATCTTCATGATGTTGTTGTGATAATTCATCGTCGTGTTGCTCATTCTCAATTTCAGTCTCTGCAAGTGCTGGAGTGGTTGTTGTGATAGGGCTATTTTCATCACCATCTTGTTGATCATCCTCTTCATCCTCATCCTCCGTTGGCCCTTCAGCAACTGAATCATCATCCTCTTCTTCATCCAATTCGGCGGGCTCCCCATTATTCCACCTCTGTAATGCCATATTACGCTGTTGTCGCCATTCATCACTGAGCTCAAGTTGACGCAACATAGCGGCAGGTGCAAACGATTCTTCATCACTATAATGCATCAAATCTTCATCGGTGACACCATCCTCGTAGTAATCCTCGTCATAGCTTTCTTCTGAATCGGTGATGCCCACAGTAACGTCGGCTTGTCCAAGGCCCGGTAAATTGACACGATATACTGGTAATGGTGCTGAAGGCCGAAGATGTAAGCTTGACAACGAAGTAGAGCGACCATTGGCCATCCTTCGACTAATGTTCTCACAAAGCCGATCATCCATGCATACAGTGTCCTTGAAATCCGCCACAGTAACAAATTTTACAGACCAACACCTACATAATAAACATCAATGCCAATGAATCATTTTTTGATAACCCAAATGACTTACCATGAATCACTATCACGTCTGCTGATCATGATTTGACGTTCAGATACTTGTTGTGCTGTTTTGATATCCCATATCCGGCATGTTTGATCAATAGAGCAGCTTGCAATGAAACGGCCGGTGCGGTTGAAATCAACGCATGGAACATTGTGGGTGTGTCCAATCAAATGAATACGGTCTTTGTCGTCGTCAATAACAGGTCGAATGTTCGATCGTCGTTTGCCAAACATGCGATTGGATGCTGTAATGTTGTGCATATTGAATACTGTCACTCTCCAATTGTTGGCCGATACACCAATAAGCCCTTGATCGCTATGGATAGCGAGTCCCCATGTAGATGAATGATCATTGCTATATCGAAAATCATGGCCAATGAATATAAGCATCCTTCTATTATCAATGTAGGGAAACTTACTTTAGGATGATTGGGTCTCTATCCAATTGATCGGTTCTCCATATCCAAACTTCACCTGAGTTGTTGACTGTAACAAGTGCCTCATGTTCAAATATACGTGACACCTTAAGCTGATTGATGGAATTCAACTAGTAGATAGGGTAGTACAGCATCAGCGTTAGCGCATTTGATGCAAGTAAAATCCTTCTCAATGCTCACCTCATCCAGATCATCACCATGACAAATCAGCTGTTTGATGGGTCTTCCAAAGCTTCCTGAGAAATGATCGATCCTGTATACCAGCACAGAATAATCCATGGCTAATATGAGAAATCAGCTCAAATGAAATAGTGTCAAATCCAAAGCACTACTTACCAACGAAAAACAGGCCCGGCTCCTCTTCACTAGCAGCGCATAGATTCATACGCTATACAATACCTTATCAATATAACCTTTTTCTTGGTGGATACAATAATAGCTTACCCATGCCTTCGCTCGAGGAAGATCGAGTCGGTTCTTGTCTTGCAACAATGCGATCTAAAAGTTGACATTAGCCCCATGTCATGTTACGGCTACTGTTACCATGCTTACATTGAGGAGATTGTAGTCTTGCAAGACTTCATGGACGTGCCGGACGTCCGGTGGGGAATGCATATTGTATAAGAGTGAGAGTGTTGACAAAAAAGAAAGTGTCGGAACTGATATTCATGCGTGATAAGAGCGCGCCTAAAAGCACATTTATAGCTGGTCTTTCTTCATCCTCTTCCATATCATCCCACTCCTATCCTCATGAAGACGACACAAAATCAAGAAGAAAACACCAAAGAATATCAAGATTGCACATCATGCAAGATCATCGGTGCCTCAGCATTTGGTGGATTGGGTGCTTATGCGCTTCGTGAAGCAACCAAGTTGCAGAAGAAACCAGGAAGACAAAACGCAGCAGTGGGTGTAGGCGTAGCAGGCGTTGGTAATGTTATTTAGCTTTATACATATATATAACCTATCACTGATATCATGATCAAGTCTTTTTATCTGCAGGCATTTATCGACTATTAATGTAGAAACGAATAGCTCCTCGCGTCTTCACTTTTACACGTTAAATCATTTGAAAAGAGTCAGCTAAAACGATTGGGCCTGGGTCATTGGAAATAAATGTGCGGGAAAGCAACGTCACCCATGTCCTTATGTCATCATGCAGTTGTTGGATGAACCCACTGGATTTCGAGCTCCGTATGCTCGATTTTGATATGTATAATGCAGACCCACTATAATGAAAAGGCACTCTTAACAATGACAGGTCTCTTTTTATGATATACATAGACCTATCATCCATCTCATCCATACTAATACAACACCCTCGATGAGCTTGGTAGCATCTCCTCCTTTGTGTGAGCCCATGTATATATCAGGACTCAGGCACTTAGGCAAGAAGTAAAATGTTGTCATGCATCTTCTGCCATACATCTACTTCCTCTATCGTATCACTTTGATTGCTTACATGTAAAATGCCTTTTATTATGTATCATGGATAGTCAATTTTCTATACCCTATGGATCAAAAGCTGATCTACACCATCGTTTCTCATTGTTAATATCCTCCTTCATTGTTGTCGTGGTCGTTCATTGTGGTATTTTTTCTCTTGCAATGGGGTAAAAGTTTGGATCGAGGTCATTTTTATTGAAAGGTTGCATACGAAAATGATGAGGATGCACCGTAATGCAGTAAAAGGAAATTACCCTGGCATGGATGTGAGTCACGAGCCACTTTTACATCTCTTTCTCTTTCTTCTTTTTACCCCCACTCTTTGTACCATGAGCACCGAAGAAGCACGTACTGCCAGCATTTCTCGAAAGACCAACGAGACCGATATCCAAGTTGCAATCAACCTCGATGGCAAGTTTGACCAGCAGATCAACGTTGACACTGGCATTGGCTTCCTCGATCATGTAAGGCCCTTTTTTTCACCGACGCCATTGACCGAAGGGAGAGAGAGAGAGAGAATTGACACTCGGTGGTTAGATGTATCATGCTCTTGCCAAGCACGGAGGCTGGTCCTTGACGCTCAACTGCAAGGGCGATTTGCACATTGACGATCACCATACTGCTGAAGACACTGGTATTGCTCTTGGTATGGCCTTCAAGCAAGCACTTGGTACTCCCAAAGGCATCAAGCGTTTTGGTTCAGCCTATTGTCCTTTGGATGAGGTATGGTAGCGTGGCAACAATATCCATTGGATACGTAGTATTCATTCATTCATTCTCGTTGTAGGCTTTGGCTCGTTCGGTTGTCGACATTTCAGGCAGACCTTTCGCTGATATCAACTTGAACTTGAAGCGTGAAATGATTGGTGCCCTTTCCACAGAGATGATTCCCCACGTCCTATTGTCTTTTGCATTTGCTGCCGGTATCACCCTTCATGTCGATGTTCTTAAAGGAACAAATGATCACCACAAGTATGTACATGGAGAAAACAAGGGAGATAATAGGAACTAATATAGTGCTTTGATAGAGCCGAATCTGCTTTCAAGTCTCTTGCAGTAGCCATCAAGCAAGCTGTAGAACGAACAGGTTCCAACGACGTTCCCAGCACCAAGGGCGTTCTGTAGACTTTATAGACCCACAAAATAAACATCTCATCACACACACGCACGTTGCCATTCATGTTACATTGGTAAAAGAAAGGATAAAGGTATACAAGAAGAGGAAGGATATATATTTCAGGCATCAATGAAAGATTGGGTTGGGATCTTTTCTCTTTTAAGCATCAGGCAAAAAGGTAGTTTCCACAAGGATACCAGTGACACGATAAGGATCGATATTAGAAGCAGGACGTCTATCTTCGAGATAACCCTTGCCTTCTTTGCTGACATGACGTGGGATACGGATGGATGCACCTCGATTGGCGACGCCATAGTTGAATGTACAAATATGACCGGTCTCATGTTGGCCAGTGAGTCGTTGATCGTTGTCCTCACCATACACAGCGATATGTTCATTGTGGCGCATAGCCAGCTTTTTGATTGTCTTTTCGATGGCTTTGATACCACCTTCTTGACGCATTTCAAGCGTTGAATAATTTGTGTGGCAACCAGCACCATTCCAATCACCCTTGACAGGCTTGGGATGGATCGTAACGGCAATACCAAAGTCTTCAGCTACTCTTTCTAGCACATAGCGTGCCGCCCATACATGATCACCACCTTGAATCCCTTCACATGGACCCACTTGAAACTCGAATTGGCCTGGGGCAACTTCTGCATTGACACCAGAGATAGTAATACCAGCGTATAAACATGCTCGATAATGTGCTTCCACAATATCACGACCAAAGATCTTTCCAGCTCCTACACCACAGTAATATTTTCCCTATTGCCATGAGTCAATAAATTGCACACATTGATCCTCCTTTAAACCCTACCTGTGGTTCAGGATAGCCAAGCTTTGGCCATCCATAGGGCTTTTCAGTTTCTGGATCGATCAACATGTATTCTTGTTCGATGCCAAACCATGGATGTGAGTCGCTGTGAGCTTGCATGATCTTGTTACATGCATGACGGTGGTTGGTTTTATGTGGGGTGCCATCAGGATTGAAGGTTTCGCAAATGACAAACTTGTTATCTCCACTACGGAAGGGATCATTGAACATGGCTACTGGCTTGATTAAAACATCCGAATCATGGCCTTCCGCTTGTCCTGTAGAAGAGCCATCAAAGTTCCATTCGGGCAACTCAGCTGCTGATGATGGCACTTTGTTCACGGTCTTGGTCTTGCTGCGTAGTTGATTGAACCCATCAATCCAGACATACTCAACTTGCACTGAACCTTTTTGATCAAGAGAAAGGTATTTGGATAAAACGGAAGCGTTGGAAACAACAGCCATGATCACTGGGGTAAACAAGGAATAAAGGGATAGATCCCCTCCCCCATGTTGTTTTTTATCACTTTTATGCGGTGGCTGTTATCTTATCTTGCACATCCATTTTTGTATACATATACATAGTGTGGCATCATCATCATTCTCCCTATCTTTATTTTCATCATCACTACTATGTAGTACTACAACAAAGACATCACCTTTTTCCAAGACAACATGCGTCCACTTTATCAATGTCAATGGTACTTCCGATGGTATTACGAGTCAACCTTGACAAGGATACCTGTTACAATAATGGGCAAAGTATTTACAAAAGTGGGACCGATAACAACGACGGGTCACGCGAATTTCTCACTCTCACTCTTTCTCCTTTGGCTTATCTTATCAGTGTTTATGCTCCTGCATGACTCTATTGCCAACCACACCATTCATGCCCGGAGACTGCATATGGATGGATGTATGTAACAAAGGGACCCAATGAGTGGATTAGGTTGATCACATGTTGAGTGCTTTGTTTAATCAAGCTACCTATCTACACGATGCATCTCTCTCACTCTTGCTTGATAAAAACAAGATGATAAAAAAAGTACATGGATTTATTCAAAAAAGACACACACACGCTCCTTTCAACCTTTTTTTGTTTTGTTTACTCGATATACATAAACTCCTTTTTACTGTGCGGTTTGCTTGGCATTGGCAATAAGCAACTTGACACCAACGAGCCATGAGCCACATTCTTCATATCGAGTTGTCACCAAATCAACTTGGATTCTCTGTGCTGTATCGTAGTCACGTTTCTCTAGAGCTATAGGACACGATAAGTACCTCAATCATGATCTATGTGTGTGTGTGTATAGATCATACCTTGGACAAGCGACAACATGAGTTGAGCAACACCATCCGAAACTTCGCTGTTGTTGAGTTCATCAAAGAGTGTGTTTAAACGACGCTCCGTATCATCCAACATTCTCTTTTGTGAAGGCTAAACATCATACGTTAGCATATAGGCAACGTGTATAATGGATATACACTTACAGGTGAACGTTGTCTAGCTTGTTGCAGCTGATTAGATAAGATTTGATAAATGGGCAATTGTGCTTGAGGAATATGGCTTCTATCATCCTTGGCTAGATAGATAGATAAAATGAATTAGACATATGAAATGCATGCATAGAGACTATAATTGGTACTTACGGAATCGCTTCTTTTCTGGTGCTGGTGGAGCTGCAGGTTTGGCAGCAGCAGCAGGTGGTAGTGAAGGAGCTGCAGCAGCTTGTGGAGGACCTGGTGGTGGCATAGCACGTGGTGATTGTTGTTGAAGAGGTGGTGTACCAGCATTACGAGGAGGTGCATATTGTGCCTGAGGTTGTGGTGGTCCTTGTGGAGGTGGTTGTTGTTGTTGAAGAGGTGCAGCAGTAGGTGCGTAAGGCGATGGCTGAGGTGGCTGTTGTTGTTGTTGTTGTTGAGGTGGATAACCCATGGGAGGTTGAGGAGGCATTTGTTGTTGTTGTTGTTGAGCCATCATAGGAGGACCTCTTTGTGGTGGTGGTGCCATAGCAGCAGTTGTTGGTGGCGGGGGAGGTGTCGATGTCTGACGAGGAGCATAAAAACCTTGAGTTGGAGGTTGTTGTTGACGAGCCATAGGAGTAGGAGCCACTGCATTCATTGGCGGAGGTGGAGGTGGAGCATTACCCATGGGAGGACCCTGTTGTTGTGGAGGTGGTGGTATTCCTGCCATGCCGCCTTGTTGTTGTTGTTGAGTAGGTGGTGGTGGAACAAATGTGCTTGGGGCTGGTGCATTAGGGAAGGGTGAAGTTACCCTACGAGTACCAGCAGCTGCCATGGCAGGACTCTTGGTCACGTGTGGATTGGATACAACAGGTGGATCATTCCATGCTCCTGTAGGCTTGTGAGTAATCGATGGGCTACCACCAGCTGATCCAGGTTGACGTGCCTTTGGTGGTGGAGGTGGTGGAACAGCAGCAGCACCTTGAGGAGGAGGTGGTGGTGCTGTAGATTGCTGTTGTGCTTCATAAGGATTACCATATTGTGCACCATAACCATAATTATCATATCCTGTTTGTTGGGGTTGGGGTTGACCATAAGCAGGACCACCTTGGCCAAATGGACTGTATTGTACATTCGATGGTTGATAAGCTCCTGTAGCTGCTGGTGCATATGGATTAGCTGCTGCAACGGGTTGAGGAACAGGCATTTGAGTAGCTGCTGCAGCTCCTTGATTGGGCTTGTAGGGTTCAAAAGCTGCCTGTTGTTGCTGTTGTTGCTGCTGCTGTTGTGGTTGTTGTTGTTGTTGCTGTTGGAAACCAGCTTGTGCACCATCAACAGCTTGTTGTTCTCTCTCGGACAAAAGAGGCTTTGCATCGAATGGGAAAGCTGGTGGTGCAGCAGCTTGACCAAGACCACTGGCGGATGATGCACATGCACGATAAACACGATCACGAATAACAGCAAGGTGATCAGCAATGGAAGCACGATAACCAGCAGGTGTCAATTCAAGATAACGCAATGCAATATCCAATTTTCCTTGAGAAGCCAACAACTCTGCATACTCGCAATACTTGTTGTACAATGGTGCTAGTGGATATACGGTTTGTTCACCTGCCACCAAAGCATTGTCTTCGAAATCAATAGCACGTCTGAACACGGTGACCTTTTCCATCAAATCTTGCAAGCTGGCACCATAAACATCCTCATTCTCCACATCTTTGCTTTGCTCTTGTTCCACAATCCAGATATTAGACACCTTCTCAAGGTTGCCTGCAGCCAAGTAACATAGTGTGGCATGGCGTCGATACTCGTGTGCCTTTTCTTGTTCACCCTTGTTGTTGGCATCGCTCCACGCAGTCTCAAGTCGGCTACCAAGGGCTTCACACAATGGGCCCAAATCATTGGCACTTGCATATGCGCAAACAACCACAACAACAGAAGTCCACTCTTCCAATGTTGCATTTTGTACCACGGCTGTCAAATCTTGATCCACCACGCTCTGCAATAAACGCAAATACGATGTCTTTTTGGCTTGTCGTTCGAAATAGGCCTTTTGTGTACGGCTCAACAACTCCTCTCCACCAAAGGTTGCAAGCAACAATGCATCTGACATACGATCGGACTGCAAACACAATTGCACAGCAGCTTCCAAATCACCCAATACAATAGCCTTGGTAATCAATTGATCGGTCTCGGAGCTATCCTTGGGATACAATTCAAGTGGCTCTTGTGGTTCAGCAACGGTTGTTGAAGCAGGTGTAATAGTAGCTGCAGCAGTGGCTTCGGTAGCAGCTGTTGCATCAGTCGTTTGTGCTGTAGTTGCTTGTTGACCGAAAAAGTCTTCAGCAGAGGCGGATGCATCGGTTGATTTGAATAATCCCGAAAGAGTATCAGTGGGTGCAGCCGCCTTGTTTGCTTCTTCACCAGTGCCTTCCTCATTTTGTGTTGTAGAAGGTGCCTCATTTTCCTGTTGCTGTTGTTGTGATTCATCCGCTGCTTCAACGGCAGTCGACCCTTCTTGACTTTCAGCTGATGGTGGAACTGTAGTTGTGTCTTCTTGCTTAGTAGCAGCCGTAGTAGTGTCATCACCACCAGCAACAGAGGATACAGCCGAGAGAACTTGTTCCTTTTCAAATCCAAGGTGTCGCATCAATTGTTGACGAGCATCTTGAGCAAACAAAGTCTTGAGCACTTCCCAGCTTTCAGCGTTATCCTTGTCTTTGGTGGTCTCTGATCGAGTGCGACGTTCATCAATAAGCTTATCAAAGTTGTTCTCATTGACAGCGGACTCCAATTCTTCAGAGCGTTTGACAATTTCAGGATCCGTAACAACTGTAGCAATGGTAACGCGTCGAGGAATTTGTTGTGTCGTAGGAGCAGAGCCTGGTGGAAGACTAGCAGCAGCTTGAGCAGCTAATTGACCAGCCTTGTTGTTGAAGGAAACAAGCTTGCCACTGAAACTAAAGGATGCGCCCACAGGTCGACGAAGCCATTTGGGTGGATGCTTCAAGGCGAATGTTGGTGCTTGTTGAGGAGCAGCACCACCAAGCATTGAGAATGGATCATTTGGATCAGCTGCTGGTTGTTGATTGGCATTGGCTGCTGCACTGCTATCATCCTCACTACCGGCACCTTGAATCGAATAGACATTGATCTAAAGCGTAACAATAATTAATATCAATCACGTATATGGATGCAATAATAAATCTCATACCTTGCCATCAAAGGAACCAGTAGCCAACAAATCAGGGTTACGAGGACACCAATCGGCTTGGAAGGTCCAATTGGATGAATGGGACACCTCACCAAGTTGTTCACCAGTACGTGGGTTCCAGCACAAAGTTCTGCAATCCTTGCCACAAGAGATCAACAAGTCTGAATCTTGACGACACCATGAAACACCCATGACACCCTTTTGATGACCAGCAAGAATCTTTTCAGGGGAATGTGCATGTCGAAGATCCCACAATGTCACCACAGGGTTGTTATCATCCTCAGAAGCCGTAACAATTTGCGTTGCCTATACAACCAAAGTATATCCATTAAACAATGATCATAACGATAGTGATGTTAACACTTACCACATCAGGGTGCCATGCGATAGATGAAATACCACGATGACCACCACCCATGCCACCAGCACCAGGTGCTGCCAATGTCATGATCTCCTTTCGATTACGCAAATCCCATACAACAGTGTAGCCCGTAGTTGAAGAAGTGGCGAGAATATGCTGTACTTGGCAATTCCATGCAACGCTGGTAACTTCATCAAGCTTGTTGGATCGAGCTCCAGGAGAATAGGGTCGAGTTGGGTTCGTCAAATCCCAAATGTAAACCTAAGAATGGTGCGTTGATATGAGTACAAACCATATGACATTATCATGTGTGTATCAATCTCTCTCTCTCTCTCGTTTTACCTCACTGTTTGTGCCAGCTGATACCAAAAGATTCGATTGAAGAGAGTTGAAATCAAGACCACGAATAGGACCTTGATGAGTCGAGTTGCGGAGGATCAGTGCTTCTTCTGCTCTATTACCATAGGCCGTTATTACATGCTGAACAATGAACAAGGATCCATGACATGACTTACCCTTTGTCTTCAAGAATGGCATTGGGATCCCATAATTCAAGCTCGCCACTATCCATACCACCAGCAATGATACCATAAGGCTTCTCAGTAGTCGTATGTCCCCAACCAAGTGTATTGAATCTGAAAGGATAATACAAGAGTTAACAAGGCTATTCTTTGACGAGGAGGAAACCTGCAGAGCTGCTCATCATGCCCATTCCCCCCATTGGTGCGCGTATGATGTGGGTATGTAGATGGGTTTGTGTGTGTGTACCTCGCGTTGGTGCTGACCTTGCCAGCAGGTTCAAGGCCCTTGTTGTTGGCATGGACCAAATCAAGCTTGAAGAGTTCGAGTTCTGACGCGTTGGAGAATGAGTCGTCAAGGGCACCTGAAACGGTACCAGCCGCAATGAACGGCAATTGCTGTCCAGGACTCCATGCAAATGTCGCTGTCCGATGGATTTCGTTGAGCTTCTTGGCCATATTTATACAAGGCTACGCGTCGACATGTACAAGATGACGGGTTATTACTAGACAATGAACACCACAAGGTTAATAAACGCACCTTCTATTGTAAGGCCCAAAGCCAACTTTTTGTAAGAGAAATATAGGTTGCAGTTGCACGAAAGAAGGGCGAAACTGTGTAGCTTTGTGATTCGTGGTGCTGGCATTTCAAATACAGCAGCCAAAGAGCGAGGACGTGGACGTAGTAGTAGTAAAAAGTCGATCTCATCCCCATCCCTCGATAAGGAGGTCCAATCAATGATAAGACGTTACATCATGAACTATGTTATTGTATCAATCTCTCATAAAGTCGAATGAATGAGATCATCGTTCTTATTATACCTGCAACTATGAGAGGAGATGTGTGTGTGTGTGTGATGGTTAGTAGCATATCGGTTACAGAAATGGATAACATGTGGGGAAGTAGATGCCATGATCGTATAAAGCCAACATGTTGGTAGGATAAATGCATGGGTTTTTCAAAAGGAAAATACATCAAAATGGGAGGATAATGACTGCTGTCTTCATTGTCTCGGTTTCTTTTTCACTTTTCAATGTTATGCTATGCGTGTCCCACGCATCATTTTGCAATTCCTTGGAAGACGAAATGATAAACCTAAACAGCTTCCACAATGGCGTGTTTGCTTATGGTCATTTTTGGGAACCTTTATTGGAATTTGCATCCTTGCTATCCTCTTTCATTATTCCTACTATTTTCATATCCAGCTTCATTATCCCACCATCCTCAGTAGTTGGGTAAGTCCTGTTCAACACAAAAAGACATGTCCTTTTTCGGCTGATGGATAGTATAACATAAAGGGAGCGGCGGCGGTGTTATTTTATGGTACTCCAGAAGCCCCCATGACACAACCAAGAGCGGTATTCTTTGGCAATTTGATCTCATCCTTTATTGGCGTTGCCATCACCAAGCTCTTTTTGGAAATCAATACACCGGAGGACGCATTTGAGCATGTACAATGGATTGCTGCTGCATCGAGTGTTTCGATATCATTGGTGTTAATGCAAGTAACTAAAACAGTGCATCCTCCCGGAGGAGCTGTTGCTATTTCATGCATGACACAAGATAACTTGAAAAGACTCGGATGGCAGTATATGGGATTTGTGATGCTCTCAGCTACCTTAATGACCGCATGGGCGCTGATTATCAACAACATCGAACGTCAATACCCGATTTTCTGGTGGACACCCGTTTATCGACCTCATCCTGATCCACAAGAAGCTCCAGATCAAGATACCGCATCAACAACAGTTGGCACAGATGATATTCTTCCCGTCGTTGATGCTCTTCCCAAGAATGCTCTTAATGATAGTGAACGCGATGCCTATAATATCATACGTCAAAAAGTGCAAGCAGCTGCCAATACACAATAATGCAACAACTATAGTACACGAGGTTTTTTTCACTTTGCACTGGTAAAGCCTTATACACGTATTACTACCATCCATCTACTTTCCACTTTTTATAAATGATATCAGGGCGATGATGGGATACAAAGAGAAAGTGGATGAAGATCATAAAAACATGTCTTGTTTATTATTATACAACTATTCGCTTTCATGATATGGGTCGCTTGTTCTTGTTGCACCTGTTATGCGATTATGCCACATTTCACCATCATATTTCCATCCAAATTCGTCAGCATCAAGATCATCTTCAGATTGGGCAGCAGCTGGTTGCATCAATGCAGATATGGACTCCTCACAAGCAACAGTCAATAGTTTTTCAGTCAGAGATCTTGGTCGTGAAAGGCTGGTTAAATTCAATGGGATCCTGGATGACGTCTTCTCGGGTGGTGTGTACCATGTGTCACGTTGTCGATGGATGTGGGTTCGCTCGTTGTTGGACGTATTATGATTAAGGGACCGAAGATGCTTACTAGCTTGATGATGACTCAAAATACTATCCGCCGACTTTTGGAGTTGTTGCTGGAATGTGAGGAGTTGAATCATGGTGGTTTCAAAATGCTTGAGGTCACAAATTGATCGAGGCAAAGTGATGTCAAAGCGAGGGAGAACAATATACAATCCACTGTCTGAAAGATGGATGGATGAAATCACGCAAGATGGACCAATGATCTGGACGCCCCATGTTGTATATTGGCATTCTTGCTTGGGAGATGTCGTTTCCACCATAGCGATCATGTTATCCAGGTTATCCTTCATCTCACGGTTAAGCTTGCCTTCGTCCGACACAACTTTCGAATCCTTGTCACCGTTGCAGCATGCTTCCACTGAACAAATGTCGTGCTCATTCTTCTCCAGATCCACAACGAAGCGCACATCCACTTTGAATCCAACCATATTGGTCGCACCAGGATAAAGCTCTTGTTTGCAATGTGTCGAAAAAGGGAATGCCGTTTCACCTGTCTTGATTCGTATGTTGCAACCAGAATGAAACAAATGGCGAAACAAGGGCAGCCAAACGAAAGAAATATAGTCAGCCTCTGATACTGATACACTCGGTTGTTCTTGAAGCAAATGGGGTTCTTGATCAAGTAAATTGAGAATGTGTTCAAAAACACGAAGAGATGGCATAAGCTTGGAGGAGTGGTACTTTGGGAAAATCTTGTAAAGATAAAGAAGGCCCAGCTTGATGTTTCCCGAGTTATTCACAGAGCTGTCGATTATCATCCATGTCTCTTGTAAAGATCGGTGTAGTGGTGATGCTGGAGGAATGGAATACTTGTTTTGATACAATGTGTTGATATTTTTCCATTCTGCAACAGTGAATAATGATCGTTGCGAGCTCAAAGACTGATCCACTAAATCCAGGATAGATGATAGTCCATTTGACATCATTTTGCGCTGCCTGGACGAGAGCAATGTACCACCCAGATATCGATCATGTATCACAAGGGCTTTTCTTTTGATAACGGTGGCGATGGAAAGCATGGCCGAGTCACAAATGATACTATCTGACTCCAGTAGATTGATAGCAGGCTGGGTATTTGACGTTGCTGTAGATGATGACGATGATGATGGTGCTGTGGATGATGACGATGATGATGGTGCTGTGGATGATGACGATGATGATGGTGCTGTGGATGATGACGATGATGATGGTGCTGTGGATGATGACGATAATGGTGTTATGGATGATGACGATGATGGTGTTGTTGCTGCGGATGAAGATACTGTTGGGGATGACGATGTTGCTGTGGATGAAGATGCTCCTAGAGATGACAACATTGCTGCGGATGAAGGTGCTCCTGGAGATGATAATGTTGTTGGAGATGAGCATAAAGTCTTTTTGGGTGGAGGTGCTGAAGATGAGGGTGATGCATCACAAGGCCGTTTGCAGGAAGATGCTGCTGCTAAATGCTGGGCATGTTGTTCCAATAAAGAGCTCTTTATACCAAGAACAGCTGTATCCATGACGACCTCTCGCTCCTGTCGCTGAAGGTGATTTTTCTGTAGGGTCTTCGCAGTATGCTCCCAAAAGTACTCATTCAGCTCGTCTTTTCTTATATGCGCCAAAGCCTTCTTCAGCCGGTCAACCATCTTTGTTATCTCGCCATGGTGAACGAATGCAGAACGAAGTAGATCCAGATCGCTTTTCAGATGTCTGTGGCAATCCCGTTTGTTGATCAACAACTTGTTTGATAGGCTTCTGTCATAGTGTGTGATATCCCAATTGGTATAAGGCGTGTCTTTCCAGTACTCTGTAAGGATAAATGCGTTATTTTGACATTCCAATATGAAGTAACCCATACCATACCATAGTTTTCGAGTTCTTGTTTTAAATGAAGCCATATGAGATCCCTTTCGCCAATCAGATCGTCGACTCGTTTACAAGCGCGTTTTGACATCGGGGTGCACTTGATTGTAGGGAGAAGGAAAGACCAGAGTGCCACCCTCCGCCATGAATTCCAAGATGGTGCATTCGCGTGATAGTCACATGCTCTTCTTGTACCAACCCTCCTCTGAAGCTTCAATAGCAAGGTCTTTACTCCATTGTCTCGAGAAGCGCCATTTACTTGCAGCAGCTTTATTTACATGTAGCGACTTGCTTCAAGTCAAATCACGGAGCAACTATTTCCCAATCATGGATGGAGGATGTTTTATGCCAGCAACAATTAAGGATACAATGACACAATGACACAATCATCCATGTTGGCTCTATGTAATCCACCCTAATCTTATTCAATTTACAACCCTCTTCCTTTAGACGAAAAGCAGTGGTGACCGATGATGCCAACATAGTGCTTGTTGTTACTTTAGCTGGGGTCATTGTTGTGGCACGAGTACATGAACATACCATGCTTATCTATGACGATTTGCAGCTAATGCTATCCTATGCAACCTTGTATATGAACGAAGAACCGTTCCATACGGGCTATCATAAACGGACCTTAGCATAGGCGGATTTGGGAAAATCTCCTTCATGCACTCTTCACCAATAGGATCGACCCTTCAACTCTGCCCTTGAAATAAAGAAACCAAATCAGCAGCAAGGCCAAAGTCTGAATACCCTGCCATGTGAGTCGATGTGCCCAAGTAGGAAGTCATCTATCTAACGAACCGCTCCCTATGGCTTACTGCTGTAATACTAACACAAAGAAGTGCAAAGGGAAAAAGGGAAAAACAGGTATAATAGACGCACTATCTCTCAAAAGGGCACACTCTCTCTTCTCTCACAGGCAAAAAAGCTTACTGCAAAGGCTGCCCTTGATAACAGGAAGCTCTCTCCGGGGTCTTTATTCACAATTTAATGATATTTTATATGACCGTGTATAAGGTTTGGATGGTACTTTGATTTATTGGAATACTATTGTGTTAGGAGGGGAATATGAAGGATGCCTTTTCATTCTGTGCTGCTTCGTCACGTGTCCCTTGTCATCCTCCACTACGCCATTTCGGCTTGTTACACAACAACTTTCTGCACCTTTGCCTCTGATATGGGTGAAAGCGATTGACAATGAACAAAAATCCCTTTTCATATAGCATCGCGCTCAAAGCATGGTAAAAAGACAATCAAGGTTGAGGGGCCTTGAAAGTTTTGGTCTCGAGCAAAAAGTAGTCACAGACGTTGAGTGATGTAAGCCCAGCAGCTCTTGATCCTCTTCTATATGGGTTTCTTCCCTACCAACGCCTTGGCATTGTTAGTTACGCGCTGCTGTGAGCTACTTGGTTATTCAATCAGTGGTTTGCAGTAAACACCTGCCTGTCCGGAGAAATTTCAGAGGTCTTGCACATCTTGTGCTCCATCTTTGGAGTGGGAGCTAGCTGACGATCCTTGGAGTTGGGTATGCATTGTTGTTATCATTTCACGCTGCTGGTTGCCTAGCTACATCTGGTTGCCTAGCTACATCTGGTTTCCAGTAAACACCTGCCTGTCCGGAGAAATTTCAGAGGTCTTGCACATCTTGTGCTCCATCTTTGGAGTGGAGTGAATGAGAACGCTTTGCATTTGGGGATTCTGAAGCTTCCATGTATCGATCATACGTAAGTAAAAATGTGAAGCCTTGATGTTGTATACTTGATTGACATACATTTATCATTGAAACATGCTTGGATTGTCAACTAATGCATATGTTTCCATATCGACCATCAACATCCTTGAGGACTTCTTCCATATCCACCATCTCGCGGACAAGATCTCGCCATTGACGTTCTTCCATCATTTATCCTGCTACCTTTGGATGAAAACGGTTCTTGCTTAGTAGCTTAGTTTATTCTCTATTTTGGAAATCCATCTTGACCTGCCGATCTCCATTTAATGGCATCAATTCATGTTGTAATATAAAGGCATATTGTCCATCACCAATCTGTTGGCTACTTCGACGATGATACCATTTTGTTGGATGCGTGTGATATATGTTAGAGTGAAGGAATGCTATAATAATGCATGGGCAACCAAACATGATCACAAGATGGCATGTCCAAAAGTCATGTATCTCTTATGTATGCACAATCACTTGTTCCAATAAAGATCATTTCTCTTTATGATATCCATTATAGGGGCAGGTCTTGATGTTCAGGGCCTTTACAGGTACTTGGGAAATGGCATATCCACCTTCATAACACCATTTCAATGAAAGTTAAACATAAAAGACATGAGCTGCTGATAGCAGTTTCCTCAGAAAGTATTGAAAGGACACTTGACGATAGGAGGCATAAAATGATGGACTACCTTGATGATGCTACAAAGAACGCTTGCTTGCTGATCCCACCAAAATTCGGATGATAGTCCTTGTTCAAAGCAATTGATCTCTTAAAAGCTCTTGAGTGTATACATGGATTTAGTTCGTATCTTTGTCAAGTGTAAAAAGGTGTTCTGTTACCTTTGTGGAATACACGAACAATAAAATCTACCACGATGAAATCACCACCACCGCTCATGAAATCAAGTGAAGCCAACCACGAACAATGATACACTTAGCCAAGAACAAAGAATAGCATCCTTGAGCATGAAGGTCTTATCACAAAGTGAATCGGTGTAACAGGATCAGATCAATGTATCATTTGCGGTAAATTTCATTGTCGGGTTCAATCTTGGGGGAGGGCTATCAAGCACTACAGCACCCACCACCCAAATGAATTCCCCCTCTTTAACATCCTCAATCAAGGTAAGCATAGACCTTATAGCATTAACAGATAGTGCATGCGTGGATGATTTACGATGGATGAATGAATTTATCGATGGATGGATGGATGAATTACAATGGTATCAGCAACCAACCCCACTATAGCCAGTATCCGACATTCAGCATTCAACGACTCGTCGTCAATCGCCACCGCATTCACATTTGTCGTGCTACTCATATCCATTCTCAAATGAAGACTAACATGATATCATTTTCTTTTTCTTTGTATCTTGTTATAGGGTCATAATACACTATGGGTGGTATGTATTCAACAAAAGCCATGATTTCACGTGACCCAATAGAACTGACATGGATACGTCTATAGCCTACAAGTATCTTGAGGAGCTTTACCGCAAAAAGCAATCTGATGTCTTCCGTTTCTTGTTGCGTGTTCGCTGCTGGGAGTACCGTCAATTGAACGTGTGCCACCGTGCTTCCCGTCCTTCTCGTCCTGATAAGGCACGTCGTCTTGGTTACAAGGCTAAGCAAGGCTACGTTATCTACCGTATCCGTGTTCGTCGTGGTGGCCGCAAGAGACCTGTTCCCAAGGGTGCTACCTATGGCAAGCCTGTCAACGAGGGTGTTAGCCAACTCAAGTACCAACGTTCCCTTCGTTCCACTGCTGAAGAACGTGTTGGTCGCAAGTGTGCCAACCTTCGTGTCTTGAACTCTTACTGGATCAACCAAGATGCTACCTACAAGTACTTTGAAGTCATCCTTGTTGACCCCTCCCATAAGGCTATTCGTCGTGATGCCCGTATCAACTGGATCGTCAACCCCGTTCACAAGCGCCGTGAAGCCCGTGGTCTTACTTCCATTGGCAAGAAGAGCCGTGGTAAGGGCAAGGGTCACTTGTACACCAAGACCAAGGGTGCTGGTCGTTACTCCAACTGGAAGAGACGCAACACTCTTTCCCTTCGTCGTTACCGCTAAGCATATCATTGTTAGCATTACAGCTAATAAATTGTTTTGTGTATGGGATCCTTTATTATGTATAAGCTAATGGATATCTAATTGAGGGGGAGATTATGGGATGGTATGAAGATGCATTAACGAGATCCACAACCTTCATCCAATTCTTGCTCTTCTTGTTGTGTTAATCGTGCTGCTGCTGCTCTTGCTCGAAGTTCACGTGCTTCTGCTGGTGATAATTTGGATGTTGTTTTTAATCCTCCTCCTCCTCCCAGTCGATAGGATCCTCCTTCCCAAGTTGTAAACGCATCATTGATGTATTCAGGCTCATAGAAATCACCACCACTAGCATTCAATGCATGACCACCATGGGCTGTCCAATCAAGGCTGACAACATCCTTGTTCAATTGTCGATTCAATGCATGGAAATTATCATCGTGTTCTCCCCATACGTTGTGCGTCAGCTCATGCAACAATACTTTGCGTATAGCATTGTATGACCGAAATCCAGAAAGATCATCCGTGCGTAGCCGTAATGCAATCAGCTGACCAGCATTACGATTGTATCCAAGAATCGTCTTTTCGAAAGGTGTCAATTCAGTCAATTCGCCCACTGACCATTTCCTTTGTTGCATGATTCCACGAATGCCTCGATCATCTCGTAACTTTTCTAGTATCGCACGTGCTCGTTCAGGTTGTGGAAACTCGTCAATCACTGTAAGGCGATGAAATGTGTATCGACTATCAGCAGCTGCCGATGATGGCGTAGATGTTGCTGCAGGCTTAATACGTTGTGCACGGAAGCGTCTTGCTGTTTCTCGGTTCCTTTCAAGCTTATCATCGAGTTGAGCGATCTCTTCCACTTGTTTCGGTGCCGAGCCCATAAGCATAAGTTTGGTCTTGCTGTTGAAGCCGAGTTCATTCAATGTCGTTGCATCATCCACAAGTCGTTTGCCTTTGTGTAGTAGCTTTTGAAATGAAGGAGGAACACCGGTCTCTTGTTGCAAGTGATCCTTGAGTTGGCCGATCGTTGATTGTGAATCCCATTGCGTAAGCTCGAGATTGTTGCCCTGATAAGACACTTGGAAATTCAGTGCTGTGGTCATGGAGGAAAATGTGTGTGTCTGGGATTACATGCTGCTGTCAACTTTTATAGGCATCAAAATGCATGACTAATTCATCACTTTTCTTGAACTTTCCACATACAATTACGTCTACACAATAAGAACAAATGATTCTAAAACATCCCCATTGTCGTACCCCCTCTTCTTTTCTCTGATTACGCTCAAAATACATTCATTTTTACCCGACACGCACAATGTTATCCATGTTGTTAAATCATGCTACCATAAAGACTCCTACTAGTTGTTGAAGCATGTTAAAGAAAGCCTCTAAACGTCTGACAAGGAAGATGTATTTTGGATCATCCGCATTGACCATGTTACACAGTACACGGCGAGTTCAAAGGCATTAACTAGTAGCATAAAGAGCCGCCCTTGTACGAGAGCAAATAAGCACGCTATTTTCTTTCTTAAATGTGTATCACGGTGGCTCTCTTTACATGAGCTCATCAGGTTGTGGTGTACATCTCGTTGTAAGCACACACGGATGAGCCTGTAGACTTTAGATTTGGACAAAGCACATCATTCTATGGTCGTTAGCACTTGGGGGGTGATTATTGTAGAGGAAGTCATTGTGTGCTACTACTGCCTTCTAGATGACAACAGCAACGTCATTGGTAACCTAGCAACTAGGATTGACTATAAGCCTTTTATGGAGCTAATTATGGTGCAACGGCCATTTTGTATATTGGGATCTATAGCTACAAGCGCCTGTTTCATCAAGGGCGGATACATAGTAGGTGGGGTGGATAGCTGGATAAAGGTGGCGCTATATGGATCATGCATTAATAGCAGGTGGCTATCTTCGCTTTGGAACTCAGTGGATACCCACCTCTCCCTTTCTCCTCACCTCCACCTATATAACACACTATGCGATCTCTGCAATTGTACCTCGACAAGGTTCGCCACGCCGTCGACTCTGAGAATGGGAAACAACTTGCAGCTTTATACTCTATCAATCAACAGCATGTACGCAGCTTAACGGACCAGAATCTACAGGTAAGTAGGCGCGCGATGACACCCCCTTCCTCGAAAGACGAGACATGACCGTTGACTTGTTTTATAGATCGATCGAATAGACACTACTTGCAGGTACAAAATGATGTCCCCGTGGGATGAAATGACGGCATGTCATATCAAGACAATCGTGCACTTGGATCGTCGCCACTATGGTTTAGCTTTCGAGACGCAAAAAGAACTCGTACAGTAAGTTTGCCAACCAGTCTTTTTACGACATACACTCATATCCTGATCCAATGTAGGCTTTTTCAACGAGCCATGCCCAATTTGACGCGTTGGTGTTTACCTGTTCTATATACTATCAATAACGACTTGCGTGTGATTGCAACTCAGGTATGTTTTGTTCAATGATAAAGGCGTATCCATGCTCATACGTTGCTTCTTAGGCGGATACGGAGACTGCTGCAGCAATGAGTGATCAAGAGACGTCTCAAAGGAAAAAGTTGGAGGAGGCAGCCAATGTCATTAGCAAGTCTTTCACATATTGTGTCACTGACAGGTAAATCGAAGCGGATGGATGGGGTATCAGGATGCTGACGTTAGGCTATCATATAGAAATTCTATATCACAATCCAAAAAGTTTGGCACGTATTGCATGATTGGAATTCTTTTCAGGATTTATTTCAAGGTATTTGATGGGATGGAAGTGACAAGGGAAATAGGGTGGTTACTGATGCGTGTGTGTAGTTGAAACAACAAAACCTCTGCAAGAACATTTTGCGTGCAGTGAAGGTTGCTGGTATGCCGGATATCGATGAATTCCCAAAGGCTGACAGGGTGACTTTCCGATACTACTTGGGACGATTGTATTTCTTGGAGGAAGAGTATGGCAAGGTATGCTCGAATAGGGGTAGAAGAATGGTTTAGGCAGTGTTTCTTATCCACATCGTATCATTGTATAGGCTGAACATGAATTAGAGCTTGCTTTCAGAGAATGCACCAACGCTAATCAAAAGAACAAGGAGTAAGTATTGGATGGGACGCTGTAAAGGAGAGGGTTGAGAGATTGACAACAGGTTCCATTAGAGTGATCCTCAAGTTTTTATTGCCTATTCGTCTCATGCGTGGTAAAATGCCAAGCCGGTTGCTATTCGAGCGCTATCCAAAGAGTCGTCACCTCTATTCACATTTGGTGCAAAGCATCAAGGCTGGTAACATCCGCAGCTTTGACATGCGTCTTGACAAGGTTGGTCCAACGCTCATCCGCCAAGGTACATACTTTGCTGTTGAAAAGGCTCGAAGTCTTGCTATCAGGCAGCTCTTCCGGAAAGTGTATGTATACTCTATTTACCTGCCTGTGTTCGTTGATCTTTACTTATGATGCCTTCTTTTAGCTATCTTATCATGGACAAAAGCACTCGTATCCCGATCTCTACTTTCAAGACTGCATTGGAGGCCGTAAACATCGACGTTGACTTGGAAGAGACGGAATGGATGTTGGCGAATATGATTTTCAAGGTAAAGGGAAAACATTGGGTACGCAATAGCTGTTGTACTAAGGATGATAATGTGATAGGGATATATGAAAGGATACTTGTCACATGAAAAGCTGTTTGCTGTATTGAGTAAAGCAGACCCATTTCCAAAGGTGTCGACCATCGCTGCTCATCAATAAGAAGACTCTTGGATGCCACGAATTGCTTAGATATGGAATACATTTCCCTTGTATTTACAATGATCATATATCGTTTGGGTTGTTCTACACAATGTACAAAATTTGCTTGATTTACCATCCAAAGCCTGCTGCCTGTTCTTGTTGGGTTTCTTTGTCCTCTATATAAATAAATATACACGTCAATCATTGTATGTCGACATGAGCTATCATCAACCTACGTTTGAATGCCACCAATGCAATAAGAATAGCTCCCGCAAAGAATATGAGACTAATCAGGAACCAAATGACTCCCCATGTTTGACTTGAAAGACCACACAATTTTGCAAATTTGGATGCATCCGATTCATATGCTTTTCGAAAGACAAGGTCGTCTAGAATATCCCACAAGCAATAGAGACTTGACATGACCCTAAAACGAATGATAAGAAGTGCGTTCGTCATGATCCTCTTTTTAGATGATGCTTACCCGATAAACAATACAAAGTACTTGAGTCCAACGCCATGTACTAGCCACCAAAGAAACACTATCATGCCGATGAAAGCGACTCCGATTCCCCGTGTAAGCCAATTCTTTGCCCACCATAATGTCAAAAGAAGGCATGCCCCAAGAAAAATGGATGCTATTTTGGAAGCGAGCAAATTGAACCCGCACATGACTAATATGGCACCAATGGCTGAGGAACCAAGATAGCCTGCAGGAAGGGTACAGTAGGGATTTCCACCTTGCTACGCAATAAACACCACACGTCAACAACACTCTCTTTTTCTCTTTTTCATTTTGACATACCATCATGGTTTGTCCTCCTTCTTGCTCGTCAATAATAATGTACTCTATACGAGCGCATGTCAAGCATCCGATCAAAGCGTGTGAAAACTCGTGTAGGCCTACTGTCAATAGCTATACCAGCTGTGTTAGTAAATCTTCGCATAATGATAACCCCAGTCATTTGACTATCATTACTGGCGTGCGCTTTTTCATATAATGATCGAACCTTGAATGGGGCAAGAATGTATTTTATAAACGGCATGTTCCATAAAACGAGGATACCCGCCGTGTACGCACCAATAATGATAAGTGTGGTTCGCTGATCATCCGTAGGTGTTAGCGCTTCCTCGACCGATCGCCGTGCTATTAAATAATGCTCATATTGTGGATCAATGGGTGGCATTAGTGTATGTATGGGTGTAAGGTGTAAGAAAAGGGGGAATGAAAAAGAAAGAAAAGACCATGACTAAACTGCTTGGCATCATCAAAACAACAAGATGCTTTTGTTGTCGCAGGTCCCTGATTCGGAAATCATGCATTAAACAAGTTCCTCGTGTAACACCATAGCCACAAATTGAAAGGCCGTCGATGGATCAACCCTTTGTGTCAAACAATGGAGTCGACGTCGTCGTACCCTCCATACATCAATCCCTTGAATTTCATTCATTCAATGGCACAACCAAAAATGGCCTTGTTACAATGAAAGCTTCGTTTTCAGCCATGTAACCAAGCACAGCACCCATTGTTGTTAAGCATCAACTAACCTTCGATCATTCAACAGAGTAAGAATGTACTTTGGTTGCTATGGCAACCGTATACAAACATAGCGTATGGGACACGATCAATATGGATTGACAACTTTCAACCTGGGAGGTATCCAAAATGGGTTGCACAATTAATCACCACAAAAGCCAATCGATTTTTTTTTCTCTTGGATTCTTTCATATGAGCTTTTATCCCGATATTTGAAAAATACTGGGTTGTACATGTATAAGCTTTATGTTAACATTATGCCGTGCAACCATCCCTATTGCTACGGTCTCACTGGTGGTCCTATGGCATGACCACCATCAGTAACAGCATACCACCAAGCGGTACTTTTCTCTGCTACTCCCGATTGTGATGACAATTATGCTGATATTATTGAATTCGCGACAAAAGAGATGTAGTCAGTGATAAGCAGGATCCCGCGGCAAAGTGGTCAACTCGAAAGCATGCATGTCTCAGTGGCCTACAGCAGGCAACATTAATGTCGTTGGACTCCGACAATCACATAATCAGAAAAAGGGTATCATTTGGGCAATTGCATGGATGAGAATTAATGCATCCTCGGATAAAAGGTTATTGTCATACCCTAATTTTTATCGGCTTAATTCAAAAACATATCTGATGGCTCAATGGGTATCGACGTTGTATAGTTGACCTCGCTTTGATCGCACCCTAGGATGACTCCCATCAGATAACAAGGCTGCTACTATCCTCTGATCCTAAAAACAATGAACGTTGGACGTATGTTTTTGTAGCAAGGATGGTTTCTTGTTATAAAGATGCTGTATGTGAGGCACTCTATTAGCCTTGATGGGCAAACAACGTCCCATTGCATGTACCTGATCCTTGTAAACTTTCACAGATTCAGCAATGGCCCGAAAAACTCTCCGCGTGTCCCGATCGGGATAATGTGTATGATCTGCCGCGGCATACGCGCACTGATGTATCTTATTTACATGAAAGAGGCACTGCTCCGATATATGAAGCACAAATTACTGATGATGGGCTCGAACTCGTATTACTTTTCATATATAAAGGTACGTGTTTTTTCGTACCAGGATCATTCAACAAACTCACATCCATATCCTATCTCCTTCCCATTCCTTCTTTTTACGATGAAGTTCTTTCTCAGCAGCGCTGCGATCCTTTTGCTCAGTGTCCAACAAGCATTAGCGGCCAAGACATGTGCCGTCAAGAGCTCAGGTGGTGATGATGCATCCAACATTGTCGATGCTTTCAACAACTGTAACAATGGTGGCACCGTTGAATTCACCAAGGGCACTACTTACAACTTGAAATCGGTTGTATCGGTTGAGAAACTTCAAGATGTTACCGTCAAGTTCGAAGGCACCATCAACCTCCCCACTTACAACACCAAGTTTGAGGATGAAAAGGCATTCATCTACCTTGCAGGCGACAACATTCATTTCAGCGGTGCAGGCACCATCAACGGCAATGGACAAGGCTGGTATGTTGTTTTGATGATATTGCTGATCATTACATGAATGATGATGTTGACATTGGTTACTATAGGTACGATGCCAAGAACCGTAAGGCTCCTCCACTTTTCAAGCCCAAGGCAACCAACTCTTATTTTGGTGGTTTCAAGATTGTCAAGGCTCCTCGCTCTCACTTTAGTGTCAACAACTGCAAGAATGTTGTGTTTGAGCAAATCAATATCAACACCGTGTCCGATGATGCGGAATTGGACGCTCATAATACCGATGCCTTTGATGTCTCCCAGTCCCAGGATATCGTTATCCAAGATTCCACCATTGTCAATGGTGATGATTGTATTGCTGTCAACCGAGGTATGACTTTCTCATAAGAAAACACCTGGCTAGAGGCCCAATTGCTTATAATTCTTTATCCTTTTAGATGTGACGAACTTGACCGTATCCAACCTTGACTGCACCGGTAGCCATGGTTTCAGCGTTGGATCGCTTGGCAAAAAGGGTGAACAAACGGAGACTGTTAAGGATTTGAAGTTCATCTCCAACAAGTGCCACAATTGTCAAAATGGTGTCAGGTATGTAATGCATGATATCGAGTGCTTTGGTTTTATTCATTCACTCATCCTATGTTGGTTGATATCGTTGTTACAGAATCAAGACTTGGCCTGGTGGCAAGGGCTCTGTTTCCGGTATCACTTTTGAAGACATTACCCTTGACAACGTTGAAAACCCAATCCTCATCACCACCCACTACTGTGACAACCAACAGCAAGAATACTGCGATGGTGAAGACTCGCACTCTTTGAGCATTAGCGATGTCACCATTTCTGGTATCTCTGGGTAAGCTTTACTTTTCATGAATGATCACTGTATTATAGCCAATACTCATCCACTTCTACTAGCACTGTGTCTTCGAAGAAGAGCAACCCCATTATCAGCATTGACTGCTCCACCGAGACTCCTTGCAAGGATTTCACTCTTTCGGATATTACTGTCAAGGGCCATGACAAGACCAAGGCCAATGTCTGCACCAATTTGGAGGGCTCTGATAAGATCTCATACTGCAAATAGAGGCAACAGCAGCTTATGATCAATAAAACAACGATCCATTGATATGCATATGACACAGTAGTATTTGTGTTTATTTGATCGACGTGATACAGAGAGTGATTGTTGCAAAGGGATATTTGGTGGTTAGTGGGTGGGGGAGGAGGAGAAACAATTCTACATTGCCTTTTCTTCTTTTCTTTTTGCTATGGCAACACCCAGCGAAGAATGCACACCTTCCATCCACATGTCATTGACACCTTCCAGTCGTCTCTCTCAACTCACACTGGATAGCAGCCAACCAAGCGATTCACCACGTACACGATACTTTGCTTGTCAACCAGCTGAGGATTTCACTACCAAATGGGAACGCACTTTTTCTTCTGAGCATCAGCAGCATCCCAACTTGTCCATGGTACTCGATTCAGACAAGATCTGCTTTGAACATAGACAACAGGTATGAGGTGTTTTATACTTGAGGTGTGGGTGTGTGGTGTGGGTGTGAGAATGAGCTCTCACTCATTTATCCTGCCGATAATAGACGACCCAAGAAAGGTTTACGATTGACGCATTGTTTGATATGGAAATGCAATTCTCAGAACACTACCTATACAAGGATGAACACTATGACCCTACAGCTTCATGGCTGGATGAGATTTACTGTGAAGAAGACGAGGATGATGGTGATGTGACGATGGAAGACGACGATGATGACATTCGTGCAACTATACTCCATGGTGATGAGAACGATGAAGAGGATGAGGATGATGAGGAAAATCGTCCACCACGACAATGGCGATCTCGACGACATCAAAAGTCAAGATTAAAGCAACCACAAACCACGATGCTTCTTCAACAACATTTACGTGCACCCTTACAAGAGCTTCCTTTGGATGAAGATGAAGACGATGATGAACATGGCGATTTTCCACGCAAGAAAAAGAATACAACACGACGAGGAAGCTTTCGACTAATGCGATCACTTTCTCCACCCGCTTCTTCCAATCGCAATACACCTGTCAAATCTTGATCCATGATACCCCCAACCCGAGAACCAAGCGATCCCTATTATACACACTTAGCAGTAGTCTTTCTTGCTCGTTACATCTATATCCAATATCCCATTTGTTTGATAAATGACAGCGTATACTGTATTCGATATGACTTTGGATTGTCTTATTATTTGCTGAATGCTCGTGTTTATCGAATCTAACTCTAAATGATATATCATGCTGCCAATTTCAAACTTCATAAAATCATTACCGCAGGCACGATGAACACATGGATCTCTCCTTCTTAGTGAAGCACATAAACTTGGGCTTTGGTGATGTAAGGATTCAAAAGATATGATGGCGGAAAGGGTTGTGTGGGAGTATGCGTGGAGAGCAGGTGAACTTCAATGTATGATCGTACAAGTGATGCATAGGTCGATAAAGCGGTAGGATGTCTACACAAGGATTAAGCCTAGCTTTTATCAAAGGATGTATGATCTCTACACCATGTCCTCATGAATCGAACACTCCTCTCCTTGGCAATTGCCCAAAATCACAATACATGTCCTTCACGAATTGTTGTGCCTCCCAGCCATTCCTTTAGCCCTCACCCTAATGGGTACAAGTTCCCACATAGACATATCCACAAGCAATGATAAGCCTATTGATCCATTCAACACCTTTCCAGCAATCCAAGCACAAGCCTTTTCATTTGGTTCATTCATGTTGACGTTGTATTGTTGGTTGTAAATAATCTTTGACAAAAAAGAATAAAGGGACAAGATTGGATATTGCTATACATGTTCGTGCTACTGCTGGTTTGGTTGATAGAGCACTTGGCCTTGTCGACAGACGACAGTGGTTGGCTGCAAAAAAATCGTCAAAGCAAACCTTGCGTAGACGGTCAAACGCATGAGACTAGCATTGTATAACTTTTACACGCCAACGCCATTGCCGTTTCTTCATTCATTGTTGGAGCTCATCTGTGTGGTATGTCGATACTTTGGCTGGAGTGGTCTCAAGATGCATAAAGCAACGCGGCTTTTGAATTTGCTATTTCAGACCGGAGCTCCAAAAATTTGAAGGGGGAGCGGACCAGGACCTCCCTCAGCTCCATCCAACCAATGCTCGCATTTTCAAAATCTTTTCTTCCAAAAGCTATTGCTTCACATTCACCTCCCATAATAAATTATACTCTTTTTCATTGAATTTAGCTATTGCTCCGCTGCATGCTGATGTAAATTTTATTGTGCTACGACGGCGGTTTTTTGTTCTAAAGTGGGCAATTTTTTGGTATATGATGGATCTCCGGAACCAGGAATTCAACAAGGAAGGTCGGCATAGCTCAGCTGGGAGAGCGTTAGACTGAAGATCTAAAGGTCAGGTGTTCGATCCACCTTGCTGACACACGAATTCGCATTCAATTCGATCCAAAAATCGGATTGAATGATCACTTTTTGCGTTTTTCTTGACTTTTATGATCACGTGATGATGTTTTTTCGTTCAAACGATATATCGTAACGATGGATGCTAGCAGCTCCTCTGTCTGCATCTTTTGGTGCTTTTAGAAACGCCTGTATCATCATTTTAAGTATACGTGTATGATAGGCAAAAACAGGCATCAATCGACTATCATACTGAAAGTTAAATTATTGACCACTTTTTTTTATGATGAACCATTCAGCAATTACGAGGAATGCCTTTGTACAATAACAGAATAGAGGTTATGATATAAAAAAGGCTGATTCTATGATGAACCTATGATGTTTATGGATAACACGTGTGTCAAAAAGTATCATATATATCCGGTTTGCAGCAGCAGCATCACCTTTGCAAGATTGTGATGATCATTGTAGAGCCATCCAGTTGTTGGTCTATCTTTTTCTTTGCATCTTCCACTACAGCGTGAACAACGAAGATTACTTGTATTGTGGTGTACTCGATGGCTGATAATATGGCATCATCCATCATAGGAATTCGTATGTATTAAAGCAAGTTGCTACACGTAAATAGAGCTGCTTCTACATATACGATGGCTATTGCTGATCATGTAACAAGAAGTTGTTCGATCCACCTTGCTGACGTACGAATCACTGATCACGTAAAAGAAAGGGTGTTCGATCCACCTTGCTGACACACAAGCCCAAATGATATTGTCACTGACATTGAATAGGCTGCCAAATACGAAGCATGAAGACCAAGTTGGCAATGAATACAATACCCAAGGAGTATTAATTATCCACTTCCTCCCATCCCATGTTGCCAAAGTAGTATTCAAAGTTATAGGTGGTTTAAGAATTCATATGTATTGAAGCAAGTTGGAGCACTAAAGATCTATATACAAGCTCTTCGCTGTTGATTAAAGAAAGACTGCCAAAGAGAACAACGTTGTTTGAGAATGAACGTGCCATATGGGACAGTGACTCCTTCATTTTTCATCTAACAACCTGTATTAGCCTATCTTCTTACACGTATTCAATTTCAAGCTTACCTTGACTATGATGCGTTTGAATTCGTTTATTAATGAGCGCACTTGTAGGTTGGATTCTACCTTCCCGGTGCCTTGTCCGGCAACAGCACGATCGAGGGCATATAGGGCAAAGTTATCTAAAGATACCATCTTTGTAAGAATGGCATTAAGAAACATACACATCCATATATACAAACCCGATGTTAATGTCTCTTCTCCCCGTGGCCGCGTTTCAACTCCAAAGAAAGCTCTACCCAGCATTCCCAATTGTATTCACAATGCTTTTGTCGAATCATTGTAGCTGGAGAAAGTGGCTTGCTTTTGATCAAGCAAAGTTGCTCGTGTACATCTTGGTATCCTTGTTCCTCTTGTATTGTTTGCCTTTCTGTAGTCTCTTCTTCATTGCTACTTTCATCTTATGCCTTCGCGAATCGAGTGTTTCCTCCAAGTTTGACAGATGCTGCGGAGGACGCATTGCTGGGTGTATGTCGACGTGTGGGTAATGCTGGCCACGATGTGAGGCGCATACAGGAAGGACTTGTTGATATCTTTCAAGTTGAACATGATTGATCTCTATCATTCCAGCATACCCCACCTTATCCAAAGCCTCATTGTCAACATCAATTCTTTTATGCCATCATTCACAGCAAACATACCAATGCTAGCAATCATCAAAGAGCGACATGATAGAGGAAAGAGACGTGTAGGAGTATGGTGGGCTGCGACAACATTCTTTTATTGTACATAACGGTGGGCGTGTGAAATTTGTGATAACAAAGAATGATAAATGTTTGTTGTCGATAGTGGCCTAAGCTGATAGAGTGGTTGTGTTGTTGGGAGGATGTCGTGATGTTGTTCATGCATAGAGCAGATCCCATCCACCTGAGGCAAGTCGTATGTACCATAGATCAAGCACACGTTCATGGTGATAGGCGCGTCAAAAATGACAATTCGTATCCATCAACAATCCCAATACTCGAGTGAATAAGAACGTATTCGAGTTGATCCATTCACCACCTTTCCAGCAAATCGCATCACGTGGACGTAATCGCACTCGTTCCTCGTAAGTTGGCATACATTTCAAATACTGGGTGAGCAAGAAAGGCTTGTTGAACGAAAAAAGAATAAGCCTGCATATGCAACAACACTTTGATAAAGTACCTGGCAGCTGTCGTCGACAATCGTCAAATGGGGCCCATTCTGAGAGCGGATCTTGGGTTCCACAATTGCGCTTTAGCAGCCTTTGCGCCAGCGCATTGGTTCGCAATCAATTCCAAGCCATGTTAGTGTTGTGTGTTTGTAACGGGTGTTTCCTCCTGATGTTGCAAGAAACCAAAGAGCTATCGCCTAGGCGATGGTCGGTGCTGAATCTCATCGCCTTTTACGGATCGTCGGTGCAAAAAGCATCTCCTTTTATGGATCATCGGTGCTGAATCTCATCGCCTTATACGGATGATCGTTGCAAAAATCATCGCCTTTTACGGATGGTCGGTGCAAAAATCATCACCTTTTATGGATCATCGGTGCTGAATCTCATCGCCTTTTACGGATCGTCGGTGCAAAAATCATCGCCTTTTAAGGATGGTCGATGCAAAAATCATCGCCTTTTACGGATCGTCGGTGCGCCTTATATGGATGGCATGACAACATCATGTTTGTGAAAATGTATTGTTTACTATTTACTACAGTCATTGAAAATTATCAGTAGGAGACATACTACTATATACAAAAGGAGAGCCTGCTCTCTAAGGTGATTAAGCACGAAGATCAGCCTTCTTGGAACGTGAATAGCAATTAGCAGGATCAGGATTGCAATATACATGTGATGGAATTGAAAGTGCGTCCAAGTCAACGCGTGCCCTCTCGGTCCAGTCGATTCGATCGCTAGGTGTGAAAGCATACTTCCCGAGATTAGCCCAGTAATAAGCTTTAAGGAAGGAAATCTCTTGAATAAAATGCATTTCATAAATGCCATGTCGAAGTACCTAGGTATATCCAAATGTGAGTGGTATAGTGCTGCATGTGGACCACAAAAACACCAGCTTACCAAATAGCCTTCCACTGTTCTTCCGGTGCTGATGTAAGGGAGCGCACGTGCAAGGTATAGACATGGCTGTGTAAATTCCCAAAACTTGACTTGCTGGAAAGCATGGTTGATACGTGCTACGCCTAAATTGAATTGATCATAGCCACCATCATCATCGGTAATCAAGTCTCCTTCATCCTCTTCAATCATTCGGTATAGACCCATGGTGGCAAAGATAAGGCCAAAGATCGGGAAGATGTTGGCTTTAACAAAAGGAATGAGTCTTTTGGTAAGCCGTTATTGCCTCCTGTTGTATACTTACGCGTTACAGTCAATGATGGCAAAATGTTGACGAGATGTCTCACATGCTCCTGGGCGTAGGTAAATTTGGATTCTCGTGCGTAATAACAAAGCAATGTTCCATGGATAGCAATCTTGTTGTAATCAGCTGCATGGATGATGTGTGCTTCCAAAAGTGCAACATGCGCCTCACAATCATTCAATCGATCCATCACGATGGCATTGCCGACATTGTAAACACCCAACCAAATCTCAGCTTCGCTATCACCATTGGCATGGGCGGTATCGGCCATTTGCTTGAGTAGCAGCAGATCACTTGTCGAGTTGTTGAGCGTGCCTTCAAATATCCGCATCGTAATCACGAGACCCACGGATCGATAAAATGATTGGCAATCAGTGATAACACCAAGCGTCTTGACAGCTTCGATGGATTGATACAATAGTTCACTTGCGTTGCTAAACTTACCCGCTGCAAAACAAAGCATGGAGCATATTGTCAATGTACCAGCATCATGCTTCTCATCCATGTGTCGAATTGCTTGAGTAATGTAAAAGATACTGTGATCCTTTTGGTCGTTGATCCAGCAGATCAATGCGTTGCGTGCAAGAAAAAAGGTGTATATAGATCCAGTCTCCCCGAGTCGTTCGCATGCATTTAGACCAATCAAGCACGTATAGACAAAGGCACGTCCTTTGCCCTTGTAAAAGTAAATGTTGGATAGCTGCACCATCATTTCCACAACACGTCGCCACACAGCTCGTTTCCTCGAGTTTTTGTACTTGTGTAAAGTGCCCCATCGTCGATGTTGATGCTGTATCACACGATTCATCCAAAGCTTGTAAAAGAATTCGAGCTCACTTCGTGGCCATGGTTCACCAAGAACATCCAATGACAAGAAAAGATATTGCTCCCCTTCATTCAATTTGGTACGCATTGTATAGCACATGCCAAGTCGTCGATAAATGTCGCTTTGATGAATCCTTCCAAAACGTGCTGCAATGTCTTGATTGTCACACAAGATCTTTACAATGGCCTTGAGATTGTCGGTTGCTTCAGGTAAAAAGTAGGATCTAATGTTGACGTCGGCCAAGCGTTCCAAGTAGTACAATTGCTTTCCAAGCGCATCCGTTTTCATGTAATGTCGAGTGACCTTGGATAAAAGATCGGAAAAGTTGTCTCGATTAAGCTGAGCTTCATAGTACTTTGCAAGACGCTGATGCTGCTCAACACGTGATTCATAGGGCACCATGGCATAGATGCTTTCAGGGATTGTGATATGTGCAAATGTATACACGATCAAGCCACTGTCATGTAGCGTAGGGCTGTCAACTTGTTGCAAGAATCGATATGTGTCATAGGCACGAATCCGGCTCGGTATATCGGCGATATCAGGATCTCGAAAGATTGCATTCTTTGCCGTGTCAACAATTGCGGCAACCTCCTGAATGGTGAAATACTGGTCCAAGCAGCTTGCAGCCTGATACGATCCATGGTATTAGTTTTTTCTTGTATAAAGAGCCATCATGCAAAGTAACTCACCGTCAAGAATTCTTGAAAGTTGGCATCAAGGCGATCGAATTGCATTTTGATGATCCGCTTATAATCGAAATTGACCAAGAGATCTTCAAGATCAAACTCGCTGCTTGTAGTCACCAGCTCGCCATCCATAACACTGACATCACTGTTAAAGTCCTTGAGAACAATAGCCATGTTCCTGTGTAATGATAAAAGAAGGATTAGAAATAAACATTGCAACATTTATATAACACTTACTTTACGAAAAGCGGGTTGCCTCCTGTTCTTTTCTATAAGAATTCAATGATGATGAATGCCAATTCTTCATGATCCATCCTATATCGTTGTATACCTGAAACACTCGCACAATCTCGGGGCTCACTCGTTTAACCCCACTTTGGAAAGCTTGAACAATGATTTCTCCAATTTCATCTGCTCCGAGTCCATTCAAGGCAATTTCTTCATAAGATCCAACCTTGGCAAAGTCATTGAGAAAGGTAAGGTTGTAGTCACGTATGGTACGAGTGGCCATAATGAGCAAGAATCGCTGGCATTGTTCGTGAATGTGCTTCAAAGCACGAATGGATGCAGAATCAGTCCCTGGATACATAATAATTAGCACATGATATAAAAGTAAGTATTCTTTCTCATCTTACATTGGACATCATCACAAATGAAAACAAAGCCAACATGTTCACAGGTATAGCGGATCATCCTTGATATGACACCAGCCAAAAGAATATCACGAGCACGACCATCCAATCTCGACGTATACTTGTTTTCACGCACTTCGCCTAGTGTAGTAAATGCAGACTTGAATAGTGGCAACAAACTCTCATCCTCGCCACACTTGCCAAGGCATCGAGTAATTAATTCAGTCAACTCGTTGCTGAAATCGGTGAGATGCGGAGAACTTGCATGATGGGATGAATAAGATTCCAAGCGCCGTAATGATTCCCGATTGCTCAAAGCCGAAAGTTGTGATGCTGTCGATGTGCGATCACCTGCACGTGATGGTGCAACCAAGGGTGTATTTGGAAGGTGATTCCCAATCGAATGCTGCTTTGTGTTTTGTGGGATCTTGTCCGAGTCGATCAATTCAAACAGTGAGATGAGGAGATTCTTGATGAGATAATACTTGGAGCCCTTCTCAACTACAAAAAAAGACTTATAAGTACAAGATCGATACATAGAATCAATGAAATTCAATCACCTTCAGTGGATGATGCCCAACTATCAACGTAAAAGTGGGTTAGTGAATACATCCAATCATCGAATCCACATATGCTTACCATGAAAATACGTCTTCAGTGGATGTTATCTTTCGATTCAATGCATGGCAAAAGAAGCTCTTTCCTACACCTGATGGCCCTGAGATGACGAGTACGTGATGATTTTGTGCTTCGTTCCAATCAGCAATAAAGCGTGTAGCGCGTGCCATCTCTGAACTGTAGCCGATAAAATCGGTATGGCTATCCTCTTCCTTTTCTTGAAGCGAAATGCGCTTGGGTCTACCACCATGGCCGAATCGTTCAATGCTATAGATCTGGATAGGCTTGATCTTGCCTTTGACGAAATTCTCGCCCTTGTCTTCAAAGTCGCAAAGACCTCGGATCTGATGTTTGGTGGATGCATCGCACACGACGTTTTTTGTTGCAAAAGGGAATTTGAGCATACGCACGGCCATCACAATGGTGTCACCACAAATACTGGGATCACGACGATAAGGATTACGTGGAGGAAGCACCGCATTGAATATCATTCCTGTGGAAAGGGCAATCGCAAAGTCTGGTAGATCCAATTTACGATACGCATCACGCAACTCAACAGCCGCTTTTGCCGCAAACACAGCTTCTCGTTCATGGGATAGAGGAGGAAGACCAAAGACGGCAAGCAAAGTGGGTCCTAAAAGAAACATACATATGAGCAACAGGGCATCGGCAGCGTATAGCAACTCACCTTTATCATCCACAGCAAATTGTTGGACCATGCCTTCATATTTAACAAGGATATCAATGGCACATACAAACGCCTTTTGTACAATAGCAAGTCCGGTGGTTGTAGCAACATTGAGTTTTCCAAAGCTGACAAACATGATCGTGACATCTCGAAATTGTGCTGGAAAATTGCTGTCTGGAGAATGTTGTAATCGATAGAGCGTGCTGCGATTGATGTACTTGTAATAAACGGGATTGTTGTTATCATACATATCCATGTATTCTGGGTTGCGTGCACGTGGGACCAAAGGTTCAACATTGAGCTGAGACGCTTGCCTCTTCAATTCAACAGGCAAATTGGCAAGATAACCCGTACTTGCATTGGCAACGCCCATGTGATATCGCATACTGTTGACGGATGGAGGTACACCACGGCGATTATGATGATCATCGGTCTCCTTATTGTGCACAATGTAAAATCGGTTGCGTTTCTCAAAGCCTATCGACAATCGCTGATTTGTTGCTAAGCGATACACCTCGCCCGTAATACTCATTTCACCCGCCTTGGCAGCTGATAATGCATCTTCAAGCAATTCCACAGCAGGTCCACAAATAGCGTATTCCAATCGACCCGTGTATTCGACAAAGTACTGATCAATGATATCCATCTCCTCGTTACTTAGCGTAGAGAATCGTTTGCTCTTCCTGCTGTTGCTATTGGTACTGAGACTGGATGCATGGCTGGTGCGATGTTTTGGATTCATTTCACCAATGATGATGTTGGAGATGTTTCCACATGACATTGCGATATGGAGTTCAAGGTCTACCACGTCTTTGTTGCGTTTGAGAGGTTCTGTTGATTGGCTGTTATGTCGTATATAGATCCGATTATCTTTGGCTTTGCGTCGTAGCATAGGAAAACAACTCCAAAAGCCGAATGCCATTGTGTATTCTTCTGGATATTCATCAATGCTCATTGAATCAGGATCTCTGCTCACTTGACTAGGAGACAATGAAGGTGCATACTTGTTGTGCTCATTGTTGGATGATGATGAATCTTGACCATCGAATAAAAAGAAACGTTGTCCCTTTTGGGTATGCTTCGATTGTCGATCAATATCCCCGGTTGCTGTACGATGTTTGGCGCGTTCCTCTGCTGTCAGATACACTCGATAATGTGATAATCGTGCAAGCAATTGTTGTCCACATTCAAGCGCACGTCGTACCAAGATGCTCTTTTGACGTAACGATGCTTCCTTGCCATCCATGTCATGATCGCTTTTACCAGGTTCACAAGGCGGGGCCTGAAAACTGACAAGAACCGCATCACCAAGAAACTATTATGAACAATGAATCCATATTAGCGTCAAGGAGTAGTACTTTGTATTTCATTGTTCGTACCTTTACAACATCTCCACCATAGAATTCGACGATTTGAATGCACTAAAATGATACGTTGCATATTAGCGAGATTAAGCAATAGCAATGTCACTTTTCTCACTGGCTCTCATGATGCCTACTTCACCCAGATAAGCACCAATCTCTAAAGCGATCGCTTCGGCACCGGATGCTCCTTTTTCAGTGGCGAGTGTTGTCAACTAAAAGGAGCATAGTGTCAGTAGATGGATCTTGAAATTCATGCATCATGCTGGCGTCAATGTTTACCCTGCTAAAGCCTACCAAGCAATCCATGAGTACGTACGTAACAGCAGCAACAGCATATGGAAAGAGCCTCAATTTACCTACGACATCGACCATGAGAACGACGCCAAATTGGGTTTGGATGTATGGTATTTCTAGCGGATCACGCACGGAATGTAACGATCGAACGTACTAGGCATGGGGTCAGCGGTTAGCATAGAGCCAAATGGGGGAGTCGTTTGTGCTACTTGCTTTCGCAATGTACGGTGCAATGTTGATCATTGCAAAGACAGAGGATCAACGTGGAGCGTCAAGTGGCGATATGGGAATAAAAGTCTGCGTATAACTGTTGGTCGTTGAAAGGCTTGCAAAGGTATGCAAAGAAACAAACAAGAAAACCTGCTTATCCCTGTTGACCTTCCCTCCCACATCGATTCATGCAGTGGAGACTTTTTTCGGACTAGGAAAGACGTTCGCCAATACTTCCGGAAAACCCGCATCTATTGCCAAGCAATCCCTACCTGTGCATTTAGGTTGTTGTTGATGTGTCACACTCTCCTCCTCCTGCTCCATTATTCCATATCAAGTGCTTTCATGCGCACGGACCTTTTTCAATATCACCACATCAGTAGTAATAGTAGCAATGCTATAATAAAAGGGAATAACCAATCATCCATATTTGGATCACATGCACCATGATGTTTTATATATATCCCAAGGAGATAGCGGCAGTACAAGATATGCCGTAGTAGCTACGACGCATAATAATGCGTTGCCATTGGAACCGCTACTACTACTATAGAAGTCGGAATTCTCTTTTCCATAGAAACCATCGTCATTGCCAAGAATGGGTCCTTTATACTTGTTGTCTCTCCTATTCGGGGAATACCCATCACTCTTCGTGATAAAAAGATACTTGAAATTGATTACGCCGCAGCACGCTTATAGTAGAAAGAGTGTACTACAAACCAAGTAACTTGTGGCTGTGCTTCCAAGTCTTCGATGCTTCTTCGAGTAGATTCTCAGCTATCATTGCTACCTTTCTTTCTTTTCTTTTACATTTTGTAACGACGCAGCATGACTAAAGACGCATCTTTTGATCGATTTATCGAGCTTCCTCACGATGTTCTTTCCTCTATCCTTGCTGAGCTTCATGTCCTTGATCTCTATCAATGTATCCTTACATGTCACTCATGGTACAACACTATCCTGATGATTTCAGGAACCATATCCGGAGAACAATGCGAGGCTGTTGTTTATTGCAAGCCATATTATGATTCCTGGTACTTGGGCGAATTGGGCCTTTATAGCTTGTTTTCTCGACCACCGCCAGTGGTTGTCATTGGGCCACGTTGTTCACAGCAAGATCAAGTGTTTCATCACCTATCATTGATATCCAGAAAGGCTCCTGATTTGAAAGCACTAGGTTTGTGACATTGTAAATGGAGTAAAAGTGACTAGAAAGAGGCTAACATGAAACACAGAGTTTGATGGGACACAAATCATTGATGCAAACCAGCTGGCACAAATACTGAAGGAATTCAACAAGCTTGAAAGTATATTATTTAAACGGCAACGGCGCAACTTTCCTTTGGAACCCATCATCACAGCTTGCCCTATGTTAAAAAGTCTACAATACTCACTTGACGATAGAGTAAAAGTACGATGTTGGAACCCCCAATTTCAATCGTTGGCTCACGAAGGCCCCTTACAGCAATCCAAAATCACCCAGCTTTGTTTGCGTGGCCATCCACGTACATGTTGTCCTACCTACTTTCAGTTGGATCCTATATTACTTTGTTCTCCAAATCTTCAGTATTTGAATGTATCCAACGAGTGGGCATGTCACATGAATGATGACTTTTTCGACACGCTGCTTGAAATGTGCCCAATGGTGCAATCCATCATTTGTTTCCAACCTACAGCAGCACCACCAAGATCCCTGCTATTCAAAGAGAAAAGGTGCCATCAAGGAGGAGGCTTACGTGAGTTTGGGTTTTACCGCCATTGGGGTTCTCATGCCGATTCAATATCACGTGTCGTGACCAAACACCAACACAACCTCCAGCACCTTGTATTGGATTCGAGAAATTTCGTATGGATTGCCGATGACGTTGACGACGATGTTATCAAACGCCGTATACGTACAACAGATGCATGGATCCAAAATATCAAAACGCCTCGACTGACGGATCTTGAATGCATTGATGTGGATGTGTCAGGTCCCATTTTGCATCAATGGCTATTGAATAGCACTGCCCTTGAACGTGTAGCATTAGGCGGTAAACAACTTACAGTGGATGCATTTGATGCACTAGGGGATTTGCCTCATCTTCGACATCTTCATCTCATTGAATCATATGCGAGTCCACCACCCGACACAAGCCTTCTCCCATATATCAGCTTATTGGATAACCTACAATCACTCTCACTGGATTGTGCTTCCTTTGTGACCGACAAGACTTTACCAGCTATTGCATCACTTCCAAACCTAAGAGCTCTCGAAATCAATCAATGGAGGGTATCCGAGTCTGGTATTATTCAATTCGTCAATGGATTAAAAGAAGCATCAGTCGTCTCTCGGTTAAAGCTTCAAGGGATTGGCTCACTGAACGAAAGAGTACTTTCCATGCTCGGCAACGTGGTCTCGTTGACTGAACTCACAATTATCGGCAGCATTGTGAATGCAGCAGGCATGCGAATATTCATTGATAAAAAGAAACAAGTCATCAAGTCGCTAAGGGTTTATTCAAGCAAACAACAACAATCAAAAGATTGTGGTGGATGCATTCGTCATGGGACTGTTCATCTTGGAGACCGGTTTGAATGGGTGTATTAAATAAAAAGAAGGCGATTGAATGCTTCTACCATATACCTGGATGGATCATTTCATTGATTAAAAGAGTGATAGATTACATTTATGGGAGGTGTATTGATAGTTCGCTTTCCTGATTTATACATTGACTAACACAGCTTGCATGAATGAGCCATCCTGAGTGTGATATAGGGATTTACAATACCAACGCTTTCCACCCTCCTTCAACTCACAGCCGCATGCCATCTCCCGCTGTATATTAAGATGATGTTTTATTACAAGCTCTAAATCACAAACAAGGACTTCGTATTACTACGGTGTTGACAGGATCCGATCACAAAAAGGGAGGTGAATTATACAATCCAATGCAGACAGCCTTTGATCAAGACACATCGTTCAGGATGATGGCATCAGGCGTGATGGTCCAAGTTGACAATGGATGCATAAGAAAGAACAAAGGATCTTTCCACACATTGTATATACCCATTCCTTCCATCCCATGTACCCATATCCATATCCATATCAAAAAGAAGTCGATGTATTGAACAAAGACGCTACACGTAAAAAAAGCTGCTTCTATACAATGGCTAACTGCTGTCCACGTGATAAGGCTGTATGACAAGTTGCTGCAAGTAGATACCGCTGTTTTGAGACAATGGAGCAAAGACCTTGCTAATGGCAACTGCTGGAATGAACGCTGTTCGTTTGATCGTGGGTTGAGGATTGTACAAGAGAAGGTGAAGTGTCAAGAAAAGGCGGGTGTTGTGGTGAGGTGTACACGCCATGGACGTGCCATTCAGTCAAAGGCAATCGGATCAAGGCAGTTGTAGGATTGGCATGATGGGTTGAAGCAGGACAATCGTTTTCAGGCACTAGTTGTACTTGAATGGAGCAATAGTTGAGAATGGGAGGAAGGGCAAATACAAGTGGGAGTGGAAGAAGTGGAAATTTAAGTAGGCTGAGTTGCCGGACACCTCTTGTATAAATGCATGAACACTGTATATGAAACCTTGATATTGAGGTTGCCCCTGTTGATCCTGAAACTTTCACACAAGGTGCTCTGGAACATGCTGATCAACTTCATTCATTTAAAAGTCGCAGACTTCATTGTGAAGATCTAAAATGCGGAGCGGCCCAAATGGTGTATGACGCGAACAAAAGAGTGGACGGCCTACCGCCCCGAAGTTGCCCACTTCCAACTTGAAAATTGGTCGGGATGGTGCTCCGAGCATGCTGATCCACTTTTTTCAAATAAAAACCTCACGCTTCATTTGAAAATTTGGAACGAGAGCGTCGAAAAGTTTGAAAGACGGAGACATTCGCAGGGTCTGTCTTTCAAGAATTGACACATTTTCTGTTTGGGCGTAGCTCAGTCAAATCAGCTCGGATCAAGAAACTTGAATGATGGAAATGATGGGCTGGAGCAGGAGAATCGTTCCATCATGATAGCGCGTATAAAAGTTGAGATTGGGTGGAAGTGGCTGTTAGCTGGCAATATGCATGTTCCTAAATGATCAATAAAGCATTATACATTGACCCATCCAGTCATGCATTATCAGTGGTGTTACACAACATGTGCCTCTGCATCTTTGGCTCTGTCAGGGTCTACCTACTTGACAATGAACAAAGACCACTTTTCATATAGCATCACGCTTACAAACATAAAGGTGCCTGTATCTCCAAACTTTACAATCAAACGTGGGGTTTTTATTAGAGCAATGTGCTCGGCTTGGCCAACAGCACCTTGTGTAGAAAGTTTCACGTTCAATGTCACTAAACAACCCAAAAAATATTTTTTGGTCGTCGAAAAAAGTTTCAAGAGGTCGACCTCTGGATCAGTTTGGCTGGTGGCGACATTGCGAAATCTGGTATTGGCAAGCTTGATCGTGAAACTTTCACACAAGGTGCTGTTGGCCAAGCCGAGCCTATTGCTGTAATAAAAACCCCACGTTTGATTGTAAAGTTTGGAGATACAGGCACCTTTATGTTTGTAAGCGTGATGCTATATGAGAAGTGGTCTTTGTTCATTGCCAAGTAGCTGAACCTGGAGAGCCAAAGAGATGCAGAAGGACCTCTTTGGGTAACTCAGCTAAAAAGTCAGGACTTCAGGGACAATGCATGAAAGGTACGCAACCCTCACTTTATGTCATACATTGGCAGCTAATAGCCACTTTTGTGCATTCCCAACTTTTTGTGCATTCTATTGTAGGTGGACGATGCTCCTGCTCTGAACATTCATTTCCATGATTAAAGTAGGTTGATCCGAGCTGATTTGGTTGAGTTACGCTCACACAAGATTACATCAGTTGAGCTACATCGAGCGTGCTTTATGTCCAGAGTGATGTAATCTCTTTGACCACAGCTCAGTCAAATCAGCTCGGATCAACCTACTTTAATCATGGAAATGAATGTCTAGAGCAGGGGCATCGTTCCCATGCAGTGGATCTCGCAACAATGATGATTGGATAAAAGTGGCCGTTAGCTAGCAATACATGCCTGTTCCTAGATGATCCATAAAGTAATTATACATTGACCTTTTCATTCATGCAAACGTAGCTGTGTTACACAACACGACCCTCTGCATCTTTTGCTCTGCCAGGGTCCACCTACTTGACAATGAACAAAGACCACTCTTCATATAGCATCGCTTACAAACATAAAGGTGCCTGTATCTCCAAACTTTACAATCAAACGTGGGGTTTTATTAGAGCAATGTGCTCGGCTTGGCCAACAGCACCTTGTGTGAAAGTTTCGCGTTCGATGTCGCAAACAGCCAAAAAATATTTTTTAGTCGTCGTCGTCGAAGAGGTCGACCCTGGATCCAGTTTGGCTGGTGGCGACATTGAAATCTGGGATTGGCAAGCTTGATCGTGAAACGTGCACCCAAGGTGCTGTTGGTCAAGCCGAGCCCATTGCTCTAATAAAAACCCCACGTTTGATTGTAAAGTTGAAATCTCTAATTTTCTATATGTTTGTAAGCGTGATGCTATATGAAGAGTGGTCTTTGTTCATTGTCAATTTGTAGTGTATGTTTTATTCCGCCTCAATATAAGACGCATTAATATGAAGAGAAAAAAATTATGTGGGGAACGTACAAAGCGGCCTTGAGAACGGAAACGTTCAATGAGAGTGTATGCGAGCGTAAAAAGATGGTCACTCATTGATGAGTTTCTTGGTATATGAAGTCCCAGTGGCATCGCCATACAGCCCAAACACCACAGGCTACCAAAACACGAAAAAGGAAGGGAGGCATCACGGCGGAAGGATGAGAGGGGTTCAAAGCTTTGATGTGGTCCCATGATATGGGACCTGTGGCGAGATGTAGTGATCGAATAAACGACGCCAAAAGGGTTGAATGAATGGACATGAGAAGAAAAAATGCTTGTCATCCTCAATGGGTTGTAAACCAGGAATGTTGGCTGATTGACAGATATGACAAAGTGGTGAAGGGGCGATGGTGGGAGCAGGTGATGTAGACGTGCTCGACATGGTATTCGAAGGTGATGGAGGCGCCAAAGAACCGTAATGATGCGATGTGGGAAAGGTGCAGACCAAAAACGTCGCCATTCGGATGCAGAAGCGTGGATAGCTGCTGGGAAGTTGGTGAAAAAGGAATCAAGAGGCTGTAGCGAAATTGTTTGCGGGTGAAAGTGACAAGATCCAGACCAGTGTGAGTTGTGCGAGCCAAAAGTCGATGGAATGCGTGATCAAAATAAGGTGATGGTGTTTGAGGAATACGGAAAAAGTAACAAACGCCGAAAACAAACTTTGAGACTCCATGCACCATGTGTGTCAATGTCCTTTAAAAAGGTGACAACACGATTCCGATTGGAAATGGATCGACGTTCCGAAAGGGTACGAGCACGACAACGACGTAGTTGTGGATCAAGAACGTAAACATCCAGGAAGATCAAAGCGTTGAGCTAAAGACATAGCAAAGTCTTGCAAGTAGACCATTATCACCAATAAAGCGCTTATGGAGGAAACCAGATTGATAACGATTCACCAGCTTATCCACCAAAGGTCCCATGCGTGTATTCAACATCCGCGTGAACACTTTTGCATCCGTACAAATGAGAGAAATGGGCCGCCAATTTTTGAGCAGCGTGCTGTCACCTTGTTTCGGTAAAAGAGTCACCACCGAAGTACGCCAAGAAACTGGTGTGTACGCGCCAAAGTGAGAGCTTCATTGAAAACCTGCTGCATAGTGGTTTAACACGTGGATGGCCATATAGGAACCGAAGCAACTCATATGGAAAGCCATCGACACCAGGACTACTACGATATGGACTACGAGAGATCCCGTTGAGAATCTCATCGTCAGACCATGGCATCGCTAAGAGTTCTTGATCATCCTCAGCTATAGACAAATCCTCGGGAATGGCTTGAAGAATATTGCTGAGTGCGGATGTATCAATAGCCTCGGCGTTGATACAGCTTGCAGTAAGAAAATCATGGGCTCTGGAAACCATATCATCCGGTGTTGTGGCAAGGGTTCCATCCTCATTAGCAATAGCAGGGATGTACTTGGCAACTTGACGATCCTTGAGACATTCATAAAAATATTTGTTAGATCGTTCCCCATATTCCCTCCATTTTGATACCAGAACGTAATGCAAGATAATCAGCTTCCTCATTTTGGATGAATTGTCGATGTCGTGGCGAAGTTGTTGGAGGCGGGCTTGATAGGATTCATCATTGTGGTGATGGCGATTCAAACGGATGAGAGAGCGATATTGGCGATGTAAATACCGCAGCCAAAGCGTCGATGGCGATGTGAAAAAGCCTTGCGTGACAATATTTGACAATACCCTTTCAGGTGGATTTTCAAACGATCCCATCGGTCTTGAGCTGAGGATTGTGGTAAATGTGCCATAGCAGCATCGAGCCACAGGTTGAGTTGGTCACGTACGTGCTCCTGTTGCAAAGATGAGGAGTTGAAACGCCAAATCGGAGTCCACGAGATGGAACACCGGTAGTGAATTGGACAGCCAAAGCATGATGATCCGTATGGGGAACATAGGTGAACAATGGATAATGAATCGGAATGCTGTAAATCAGGAGAGCATAAAAGATAATCCAATTTACCCTCTAATGAAAGTGTGTGCATCACGTGTCGAAGGTTCAGAGTAGAAAGGATCATGCCATGAAGTCATGAGCCAGTTAGACCAATCGGCCATGTTCGTAAGTCGAGTTGTATGATAAATGTTGTAATTGAAATCACCCAAAAGGATACATCGTTGTTGAGGCGTATGGTGTTGTTGGAGATGATGATGTAATTGCTGTAAAAAGGTGATACGTGGAGATGGCGTGGCTGGTGCATAAAGAACGTAAAGTAGAAAATCGTCGCATAATTGTTGATGATGAGAAACACGTGCGATGAGGAGCCGCCCATCAAAAGCAGAATGTACGGTTTCCAACTGAGAAATAGTGATTAAAGCAACCACCCCACAATGAGGTGTCCATGTTGATGCACGAGCTTGAAGTATTCGCTGAGTAATATCACCTAAGAATCAGAATCAATGTGGCTTTCTTGAAAACATATAATATCATATCGTAAGTTTCGTATAATACGTGCATATATTGCCCCTCCAGTGGCAGTGGCAGACAAGCGGTTTGAGACCGCGACAATTCAATGTTGCCACGGTGATCTCATTAGCAACCTCAGTACTGTGTGGGAGATGGTGGTCGACCACCACCATCACCTTCCCCATCCATATCGTGGTCATGATTGATGTCATTGGTAGATCGGTCGTTGGAGTTATCCATGTCGGTGTCATGATCAGAGTCGGCAGAGTCAGAAAGGATACCATCCATCGGAGTGTCGACATAGAAGCGGACTTCTTTTTGGGTCGTAGGGCATGCGAATGCGGGCGCGATTGTTGCTGAGAAGCTGACGAAGATTATCAAGGTCTGGATCATTGGTAGTGATAGCCTTCGTAGCTAAAACTTCACCTTCCGACTGAGGAACATGAGGATCAACCAAAACTCTTCAGTGGGCTCGTTTACCGGTAGAGACGCTCGTTGGTTTCTAGGGCACTCTGCCTTTAGATGATCAGGTGATTGGCAATAGAGTGTAGCAAGAAAGTTTACGTTGAAGCGCTGACGATCCTTTCGTGCTTGCAATTTTGGCATTCGGCAATCTTATGACCCTCCTTCTTGCAATAATTGCAGTGAATAGCCATGCCTCGCCATCTTGCTAAAACGATGCGCTTGTGACCCCGTTTCCATATGAATTTCATGCTCCAAAGCTGAGATTGGATCTTCTCGATCATTCGGCGATGTGTCCAGCAAAACAGATCCCTTGCCTGTCAACAAATTAAATTCATCCGTGCACACTTTTACATCCAAAACGTGTCCATAGCGATACATGTTGTCACGGATAGCGATTGCAAGATCGTCGCGCTTCATAAGTGGAAGGCCAGAAAGGTGAACAACATAAACCGAACTCTCCATGTGCAAAGTCGGAGTACCGATCAAATTGGCGCATTGCCAACCGGCATCAGCACATGCTAAATCCTGAGCTTGCATCTTCAAAAGAAACGATAACACAAGAAGACCGAAATTTGCTAGGCACCCAGCCCAGAGCCTTTGGATGCTGACGAGTGAGTGCTCCAAAAAATTCAGAGGTAGAGATACCAGAGCTTTGAGCGATATCGAAAACTGCACTATCAGATTCCATGGGACCGAATAAAGATGCGTTCTTGACGTAGGCGCTGAGCTGCATCTTTTGCTGCTTTGTCTTCATAAACGACTTCTTTGCGAGCTTGAACATGACGAGCATGGTGTGAAAAACTTTGCCAAAACTCAAAAGGCGTGCGTGGTTGGGAATCATTGTTGGTGCTGTTAGGTGAGGCATCAATGCTAGGTGATGGAGAGCTGACAGCCTCCATCGCTGAAGAGGTCCCAGCTTGAGGTGGAGTTGGTTCGTTAGCGGAAAAAGCCATGTTGTTCATTCTTGTTCATTGTCAAGTAGGTGGACCCTGGCAGAGCAAAAGATGCAGAGGGTCGTGTTGTGTAACACAGCTACTTTGCATGACTGGAAGGATTGATGGATTATACTTTATGGTCTATCCACAACAGTCCATATATTGCGCGCTATCAGCCATTTCCTCACAATCAGTGTTGTTGCAAAATCTACTGCATGTGAACGATGCTCCTGCTCCAGCCGAGCATTTCCATCATTCAAGTTTCTTGATCCGAGCCAATTTGACTGAGCTACGCCAAAACAGCAAACATGAAAATTCTTGAAAGACAGACCCTGCGAATGTCTCCGTCTTTCAAACTTGTGGACGCTCCCATTCCAAATTTCCAAATGAAGCATGAAGTTTTTATTAGAAAAATGTTGATCAGCATGCTCGGAGCACCCTTCTGACCAATTTTCAAGTTGGAGGTGGGCAACTTCGGGGCGGTGAGCCGTCCGCTCTTTTGTTCCCATCGTCCACCATTTGGACAGCCCCGCATTTTAAATCTTCATAATGAAGTCTGCGACTTTTAAATGAATGAAGTTGATCAGCATGTTGCAGCGAACCTTCTGACAAAGTTTCAGGTTACAGATGGGGAAACCCAAGGTAATACATACTATTTCGATAAAACATGAATCTGGCGCTGACCTGCATTTCCGCCTTACATAGTAAACCCCACATTATATCCTCCCATTCAATTTTTTCAAATGAAACATGAGGTCTGTTTTAGATCAACGTGATCAGCATATCCAAGAGGAACTTGTGTTAAAGTTTCAGGTACGAGAGGGGCAATCTCAATATCAAGTTTTGATGTACAGTGTACATGCATTTATACAAGAGGTGTCCGATCTATATGATTTCCACTTCTTTCACTCCCAGCCTCTTCCCTCATCCTCCCATTCTCAACCGTTGCCCCCATTCAAGCATACAACTACCACCTGCGAACGATTGCTCTGCTTCAACCCATCATGTCAATCCTACAACTATCGTGATCCGATTGTCTTTGACTGAATGGCAAGTCCATGGCGTGTACGCAGCTTTCTTGTCACTCTTCTACAACACCTGCCTTTCTTGATACTACACGCTCTCTTGCACATTCCTCTGCCACAATCAATCGTAGCAGCATGCATTTCAGCTACTAGCAAGACTTTTACTCCATTGGTTCAAACAGCATTTACAAGCTTGTCTATCTACTACAACACACTCCTTTGCCACGACCAAAACAACAGCAGTTGCTACCAGGAGGTCTTTACTCCATTGTCTCAAGTTACTTGCAGCTACTTGCTTCAGTACATACGGATTCCAATGGATGGGGTGCCACATCAGCTATCAAGTGTACCACAATACAAGCAAGCTTCACCTTGTTGAGATGCGCTATAGACAATTAGGCGTGATGGAAAAGGAAGCATATCAGCAGCAGCCACAGAAGCTCTTTCTTATTGGACTTGCAATGGTTATGATGGATGGATGGATGGAATCAAGTGCATGATGAGAAATACTGGCATGTTGCTTTGGTTACTTGGCACGTCGTCGGCAGGAATGATGGATCATGTCGCGTGGAACGGCTGAGGATGGGCATTGACGAAAGGGTTTGTATCTTTGACGAGAGCTGTTTTACGGCCATGGACGATATTGGAGTACTCGATTCAATGCGACCAGCAGCTACTTCGCAATCATGGATGAAGGATGATTATGGCACCAGCAACCAAGAATACAATGACACCATTATCGCCGTTGCCTCTATATGATTCATTCATTCCTTACCGTTCAATCCTATTCCTTCATCATGTTTGTTTGGTAAACATCCACACTACACCATATGTGCTATTCTTCGACTTTTTCATTGGATGATTCTCATGATAACGGCGACGTCAACGGATGGAAGCTACCATGGCAAAGAAGAAGTTACAAGCACCGTTTATTATCCAGTTGGATTTAGCTAGCATATCCCTTCCTTCTTGTTGCTTGTGGATTATACCTCATTGGATGAAATAAAGGTGGTAGCGGTCTTGTAAGTCATTCAATACGATGTACTACTAAGATGTTGCGCTTGAGAAAATGCGTGGGCGAAGGGATTTCGGGTCTTGTAGGATGCAAGTAGCTGCAGCATCAATATGAGAGAAACGACAACAGTATCTTAATCTAAAACATTTATTGAAGCTTTGGATGATGAAAGCATACGGCAACCTAACGTAGTCCGCTAATGGATCAAGGCACAGGAGGTACGCTCCGCCATATAGACTCAGTGTCCCAACCAGAGGGAGGTGCCTGATCTCGGCTCCATTAGATCGTGGAAGGTCCAGCAATCAAGATCGCACCATAAACATAAGCCGGGATCGACAAGGTACTCGATCGCTGTTATGCTCCTGTTGGTGGCTGGTATTATACAAGAGCGCTTGTCGTAATAGTCGTACTTGGTGTATAGAGTCAACTCTTGTGCACACGTTTTCGTAGTTGATCGTGGGGATTTTTTTTACCTCGCCTTCCTTTTCCACCACCGCCACACACACTCTTGTTCCTTTGTCGATGCACTTGAAAGATCCTTAAAAATCGATAATAAAAGATCATGAAATCGGGTCCAGCTGAGTCCGTAGTAGTACACAAATGAGCCTGCGGAATGTGTGTCGTTTAATTACACAACCCCTGGTCTGTGCGTAGGATTTATACTATATCAAGTAAAGAATAGCTATGTCTCCGCTTCACTGCTATGTTTCACCATGCACATTACATCTTTTCTTTCAAAAAGTACCCTTTACACACGTAAAAGCATACCTTTACTACTGATTCCTACACGCTGAATCAACAGCCAATGAAATAAGAGTCCCCAAAAGGGTAACTGGCCGATCGGACGTCTGATCTGGGAGTCAAATTGGGATCGAAAGATATAAAAGAAGGGCGTTTCCCCATACTTTTTTTTTCTTTTTTCTTTTCCTCAGAGCACCGTTACCAATTCCGTAAACATGAGGACTGTAATACCTTCCAAGTCTTAAAGGCCTGTTTAAGGGGGGCTTCGTTAAATGCGACCGTAACTACCTTGCAGTTCTTTAAGCTCTGGTTAAGGGCTGCTTCCTCACTGTGCCTTGGTACAAGGTTGGTGTCCTTGGCTAAAGGCGGGAATGGTGAGGCAAACCTTCTCGTGGTCATTCCTGTGAGTACACAGATCGCCTTAGACTTGTGGAAACCAATTGCCTCTTTTAGTTCTAGTTTTAATCTTGAATGCAAATCATAATAAACTGCTTTTCTTTAAAAACATAAACTAGTACCTCAAATGAAAGATAAAAGTGCTGCGGTCACCATGAGACCAAAGTTGGGTGGGGTTACATGGGTGGAACACGCTTAAAAACGCGTTTGAAGTTCCCGGACCCGAGTCTTTGGATTGCATTTTTTCATCGTTTATAGACAAATAAGGTATCAAACGATAGAGAAAAGTTGTGCGATCAACATGATGTATATATCGCAGGGCATATGTTTGAGAGATGCGTGGGGAAGCGCGTTTTTAGTTGGTCGACACCCACTTTTCCCCTTTCTTTGTCCATAGCTACCTCCATCAAATTCCATCTTTTTTACACGAGTGACACTGCAAACGATAGAGAAAGGTCTTGTGATTATGGTGATATCAATAAAGTATATGCAAGTTTATTTGGATCACGAGGTAGAGTGGTGGAGAGTATGTGGGGTATGACACAACAAGAGCTAGTGGTTCCCAGCCAGATCGTTAACACTTTCCCTTTCTTTTCTCGATTGCGTGCATTCAGGACCTTTATTGTTGATCGACGCTATGATCTTGATATATACTAGCAGCATGGGTGACTAAAAGCTTTGGAATGTCTGTGAACGCAAGATCGCCATGGCAGGCCCAATTGGTGCACAAGTGAAGGTATCCTTGTTAATGTCGTATCCATGGGTACCTCTGGATGTGCATGGTTGACCTGGAGACGCAAACGGGATTGTAAGGATATGGGATATCCTTGACAAGCTGTCGCAGTAATCAGCCCACCTTGATCCCTTCTGTACCTTGGTGCCCTTATGTGGTAATGCCCTTTTGAATGCTGGGTGTGCATGAGTTATCAATGAAATCAAGCAAAGAGTGTTGTTAAGGATAAAAAAAGGTATTTTATTAATCGTCCCAACCACCAATGCCTAAACCAGTACCAGTAGGGTCATCCTCTTCTTCAGCTGCATGTAGCAATGCATCCACAATATCTTGTTTGTTCTCATTCTCTTTTTTCTTTGTTGGTCCCTTCTTTTGGGTTTTGGTCTTGTCGACAATGCCCACAACGCCTGATCGCTGCTGCACAGTTTTGGATGTTGGCTTGTTTTCCACTGCAGGTTTTTCTTTTGGAATCGGTCGTTGCTTATCAGTCTTTTCTGGTTCAGGAGGAGCGAAGAAAGTGTCCTTTTTCTTGGAAGGTTCCTTTGGTTCCTTTTCAACCCTTGCCTCATGCTTGGATGTCTTTGATTTCTTGGTCGCTTTGTTGTTCTCGGAAGATGCCTGCTCCTCCTTTGCTGGTGCAGCTCGTTTTGTTCCTTTCTTTGTTGTATGATCCTCCTTTGTTGTTTTCACGAGATCCTTATCATGCTGGGTTTCCTCAACATCCTTGTCATCTCGTCGCCTTTTCTTGGAATCGGATACTTCTGACTCGGCGTTGGATCTCTTTTTGCCACGCTTGTTATCATCATCTGCTGCCATTCCTTGTTCTTTGAGCTGCTTCTCGCGTTTCAATCGCTGCTTCTTCTCCATCAACTTGAAGTTTGCTTCCTGCTTCTTTTTCCTTTCGAGGAATTTGATATCGAAACGTTGGCCATCAAGCACACGAAGAGATGGCACAAGGGCAAGGATCTAGTATCCAATAATCCCATTTAGCCAATTGTCCTTGTAGAGCACACACACGTCTTTATCCCTTTTACCTTTTCACGATATCCATCCTTCTCAGTGACAGGGTTGCCCTTAAGATTAAGGTTGATAAGTTTCATCAATGATCCTAGAGCAGCAATATCCCTATCCAACGTGATGTATCAATATCGATCCAATAAAGTACTTTACAAGACCAATTACCTCCATTGGGATAACTTGTTATTGCCCAGATCCAAGATCTCCAACGTGGTGATTTGTCGTAAGGTATCAGGCAAGCTGTCGATATGGTTGTCGTTCATTCTCAATTCTTTCAGAGCAGTGTTGGCTGAAAAGTCGGGGATGGTTGTGAATTCATTGTGTGCTGCTGAGATCTTGGCGAGTTGTGACAATGAAGATATGGATGGAAGTGCTTTGATCTTATTATGCGACAATACTGCAAAACACTTTCACATGTTAATATCCTTCCTGTTGACTGGTCATAATATCCATTGACTTACCAAGAGTATTCAATTGAGAAAGAGATGCCAAACTATCCCCCACTTTGATGATTTGATTGTTGTTCAATATGAGTGCTTTCAGACTTGAAAGATTGCTGATGCTTTTGTCGATCGTGGTCAATTGATTGCCGCTGAGATTGAGCACTGTGAAAAGAGATATTGGCATGAATACACAAAACTATAGAGGAAGTGAGTGATAGTAAGGAAACATACCATTGAGCTTATCCAGACTTTCAAGGCCTTGTACGCTCTCGAGTTGGTTTTGTGCAAGGCTCAACCAGGTCAACGATGGCAAACTGCCTAGTGCGTCTATAGACTTGAGCATGTTCTTGCTAAGGTTGAGCTTGCGTAAAGAGGTACATTCCGCCATCGAGTCGACATTGGTGATATCTTTGCCCGACAAGTTGAGCTCAGTGACATCCGAAGCTGGTTCACCGCACCATTCCGAGACTTGCTTGGACGTTACTTTCATTGTGAAATGACGAAAAGGGAAGGTAAAGGATCGAGATCGATCGAGTCAAGACCGAAAATGCATGTTCCGAAAAGCCACATATACGTCCACACACACACGTGCAACCTAGTACAAACGTCGCTTTGCATAATTGTTATGGTGACAACATTACCACACCATGTTTTATCACGTTGCCTAGGTAATTAACATACCCCTCTTGGCAGTAGATGTGCTCTTGTACGCTGAAGCAAAAAGAAGGTCACCATGCAACGGCCACAGCTGCAGCTGGACGGATGATCCTTGATGTTTCGGTAGGATGTCTTGGCCGCAAGTAACGATTCCAACAGGCACCGCATGCTGATAGATTTAATAGGACAGGAATGTAGAATAAAGATGAAGAAAACGCAACATGTCGGTAAGAGGGATCTGTAAGTATTGCTAAACATTCTAACAGCTTGATGATGCAGGCTTTTATCTTTGTATTACTTCTTTGTTTTCATGGCATTTTCATTATGAGGTTAACTAGACACGCGATATCCTTCTATGAGTGTATTTATGCCCATATATATATGAATCAACCGCTGCTAGTCCGAGTGTTTGCATGGCCACTTTGCAAAGTTGCCTTGAGAAATGATAGTTGTTCGTCCAATAATAAAAGCTCAATTCCCCTCCAATCATTCAAAATCAGTGCTTGATATCACGTAGTCTATTACTATGCATATGTATGTATCCCGTTTCCTTCATACAGTTGCGTGTGGGATAATCTAGCAGCACCCATCTCTACCAGTTACATCCTCTCCCCCGAAAGAAAGGCAGCATCCATAACCCAAAACGATCCTCATCCCATTTAGTCGCATGACATCCCAATGAAGCATTCCCACTCATCCGATATCGACATAGAAAGCGTAATACATATCATCTTGCAGTCATCATCCATTGCATATGAGACAAAATCGATCGTGATTGGAATAGCCAGCGATCATCATTTAATAAGGGAAAACGATAGTTGATGCTTCTCTAATGGTGCTCAACGTTCTTGTGGTGCTCTATAAACAACATAGAAGGAATCAGTAAAATGATCAAACATCACATTGAATGATGGGAATACATACTCAAGTGGAAGTGGTAGTCGATAGTGTAGCCAGCAACGAAGACACCAAAGATGAGGTGAAGCAAGGGAGTGACAGAGGCGTTCTCACCGTCAATGTAACGGGCCTTGTAGCGAGCCCATGGACCAGAAGGCTTGGGGGCTTCAGCAGTACCCTTGGGAAGGTTCTATAGATGCCATTGTGAATGGACTGATGTGAGCAAGGCATTGTGATTCGAGTTGACGATGAAGTACCTTGTAGAAAGTGACGAGCTGAGCAAGCTGAGCATCCTTGGCACCAGAACCGGACACCTTGGTAGCAGCAGCGACGTTAGGAGGAATGAGGGCCTTAGTGCTGTAGGCACGACGGAAGACAGCGTTGAAAGCGTTCATGGTTGAAGCAACGAGTGGTGTCAAGAGGACCCCAGCCTAATATTTTTCCACCCACGTCGCTCACTGAGCGATCTCGTGACTGGTAACTCGTTCCTTGTTGGGCGTTGCTGCATGATTGAAATTATTACCCTTCCATCGCCATGGATACACACCGATAGTTGCCATGAACGAATGATCCAGGTAATGGATGCCTGTTCATAGTCATTTCTTACACAAGAGCCATCTACAAGAATTAGAGTCTTTTTCATTGAAGGAAGGGCTACAGCTTGTGCTTAACAACAACACCATCTATGACTTTTCGACCACCGACTACTATACAACACCAAGGAACCTTGTTCGGTGATGACTTAGGGATTAGCAAATTTGATAACTATCAAGCAGTAATAAAGTCGAGTTGTTGCTAAGAATGCTTTACATGGCTCACATCATTTTTAGAGTGGAAGAGGGGATGCATGTTCCTATTACAACAGCAGCCATTCTTTCAAGCTTAGTTACGAGATGTTTCTTCAGGTACCCCGTCATAGAGATACATAGCCAAGGACTCCAATTGCAAGTTCACCAATAAAAGGTGCAAGTATAAATCGGGAGGGCAATCGTACTTCTTCGTAATGAGCAATCGTATCAATTTCCAATTTCCAATCCATGTAGCTATTTGACAGCCACTAGCCTTTATTAACGTATACCTTGACGTATAATGCAATTGAGGTAAAATTCTACTTTATAGCAAGGGTAGAAACCAAGGATCATCATGATTGTTACACAAAGAGATGTTATAATGAAATGTGCCATCCTTCTGTTACACACACCCAATCTTGTATTCAACTCCTTACTGCTATACCCAACTGTTTCTTCCCTCTCACTCTCTCTCCCGCCAGAACATGGCATTACGCTCCTTTTATCAAAAGACGATCGTACGAACGGCGTTCTTCTTTACAGTCCTTTTCTTTTGCAGTTACTTGATTCCCCACAACTTGTCATTGCGCTCTCTTTCCTCTCCCTCCTCCTCCTCAACAAGGTACTCGATCTCCTCCAATGTCGATCCCACTCGATGGTCTAATGCAAGCCAGCCTCGTCAACCTAATCCGCACTTCAATGCCGCCTATGTAACCTTGACAAAGAGCGATGCCGAGTCTTTGGGCAACTTGCGAAAAACAATACGCAACCTTGAGGATAGTGTGAACCGTGAGCGTGGATACCCATACATTATCTTTTGCAGCGAGCCATTGAGCCGGGATTCAAGAGAACTCGTTCGAGCATTGACACATGCAGATGTGGAATTTTATGACCTGGATTCGACCATGTATGGCTACAGTGATACCGTTGATCTCGACAAGGCTGCCGAAGCTCGTAGGAGGATGAGTGATGTGATCTTTGGTGATGATGAGAATTATCGTTTCGCTTCCAGATTCATGGCTGGTGTCATATTCAGGTAAAAAGTAGGATGATGACAAGGATCAAAGGGAAGAGAGGAGATGACTTATGATGATACTCTAGACATCCTGCATTACAGCACATTGATTATTATTGGCGATTTGAGACTGGTACCGAATACGTATGCCCACTGGACTTTGACCCATTCCAATACATGTACGATCATCAAAAGAAGCTCAGCTTTTCCATGGCATTGTACGAGTATGAGGAGACGATTCCAACCTTATTCACGACCATCATGGAATTTGCAAACATGAACCCTGATTTGGTCCAACCCATGGCCAACAAGAACAGTCTATGGCACTTCATCATCGATTCCGAGACAAAAGTGTTCAATCGCTGTCATTTTTGGAGCAATTTCCAGGTACACTCACAAAGGGGATCTGTGTATGAAAAAGGGAAGCTAAAAGAAGGTGTTGCTGCATAATGCATCAAGATTGCAGATCTAAATTTCTTCCGAGGAGAGGCATACCAGGCTTACTTTGATCACATTGAGAAAGCAGGCGGTATATTCTATGAGCGATGGTAAGAGGAGCACATGACATCAATGGGTCTTTGTATTAACCACATTGTCTTTTCAACAAGGGGTGACCCGGTAATCCAATCGCTTGGTGCGGTGCTCTTGCTCGAGAAGAATGACGTACATTTTTGGGATAACATTGGATATCGAGTGGCCGATTACTTTACCCATTGTCCTTCAGATAAGGCGCTATACAAAAAGTGTAGTTGTAGGCCTGAGCAGAACTTTGATTTTGATGGTTATAGTTGTTTAAGATACTTTTAATACATGAGTTATTGACTTTTATATGCAACGTGTCGAATACTGTATTCTTGGTGTTACGGTTTTGCGTTAACATACGTGAAGGATCCATATACGAGCTCAGTGCAAACACATCATATCCAATATTGAAATCATTGGATTCTGTCTCACGTTCTTTGACGCTTGTTCCTCCACTCCACACACATATTATATACATCACACGACGACATGGACAACACTACACCATCAGGTAAGCTTGTCTTTATATTGACATGAGAGCATTCACGCTAAAACGGGTATTGCATATAAAGGGTTTCGTCATGCGCCTGTTAGCAAGTTCCTTGTCGAGGTCATTGGCGGTTGCTCCATTGCTGCAGCATTACTCAACGTCCGTACAGTGAATCTACCTCCTGTAAGTACAATGCTCGTTTCTGTTGTGCTCATGCTCCTCGTATTGACTTGCATGCTACGTAGGTTTGGCGAGCAGTGGTATCCTCTTGTACGTTTGGCTCTGTGGGACATACTGTGATTGGTACTTGGCTGCTGTATCGCATGCGTATCATTGAACGGCATTCTGGAAGCCCCAAATACGCTGTAAGTTATCATCTCTTCATTCATGGTAATTGCTAACAGTACTTGGCACACAGGCGTTTGTCTTTATATCACTTGTTACATCAGCGTTGCTACAAGCAGGTGCTCACAGGTTCCTGAACTTCAAAATGAGTGGTCCGTATGTATTGCAGAGCATTATTTGGATGGGATGAATGTGTGATGGATTTATTGACCTTATTGTTTCCATCACAGGTATGCCATTCTCTTTGCAATGCTATGTCAATTCCATCATATCATTCCTGCATCGTCACGATTCCCATTGTTCGGCACTACAGTATCCGATAAGATATACGTCTACCTGGCCGCTGCTCAAGTAAGGATGAAGAAAATGGAAAAAGGAAGGGCAAGGATGAAATGACTAATGGATGTGTAGATGATGCTAGCAAACACTTCTGTCATCGCACCATGCATTTGTGGATTAACAAGCGGCTTGCTTTATGCATCCAATGTCGGTAATATCAAGACATGGCGTTTTCCTTTTTGGAGAAAATCACGTCCTGCTCCATCATCAAATACCTCTTCCTCCTCAAGTACCGCTGCTGATGCTTCTATTGGGTTATCATCATCGTCTCATATGCCTCAACCAACGGGTGACTTAAGACAAAGATCCGCTGAGCAGGTAAGGGGTTGATACATAATGCATACAAAAGCTATCGAGGATACTCACCACCACATCACTAGGAGGAGGTTCAAGTATCTGAGGAGAATATCAATGCAATGTCATCCATGTTCCCTAATGTATCAAGAGATGCGGTTGCAAGTGCACTGATTTCAGCAAAGAACGACATGAACCGAGCAGCAGACATCTTACTGAATATGGGTGATTAGATTGTTGTATGCTTTATTCATGGGCAAGGATGTTTCTATACAAATACACAACAATGAAACCATAAGCAAAATGAGGATTGATGTGATTTGGATTTGAGAGTGTGCTTACCTGGAAGATGGTTGTGTACGGCGATTGGGAGAACTAGTGGACATGCTAAGATTGGCAGTTTTCGAAGCCAAAACATCATCATCGTTATGACCATTTTGTTGACCAAAAATGTTGTTTTCCTTTGGTGTAGCCTTTCTGTTGGCAGCGGGTGTAGGAGTAGCAGGTGTACCTTCATCATGGGTTAAAGAGAATGATGAGCCCAATCGATCAGGTTTGGTAGTGACAAGGGGTTTTGCAGCGGGTGGTTCGTAGGAGAAGATATTTCGATGGGGTTCGTGAAGGTTACGGCGTATGGAATGACCCACTTGATCTTCAGGGCGAATAGGACCGAAAATCCTGCCAGGGGCTATAGAGTAATATCATATATGAATCGACTTGCATGATTCCATCACTCCCTATCATAACCTCCTCCTCCTTACCATCAATAGCCAATGTCTTTTTTGTAGTGGATGCAGGCTAAATTGATACAAGCGTGAGACATTTAGTATTGATCCATGCAAAGTAATTGCCCATGTGCTTACCAAAGGTGTGGCAAGTTCATTGTTCGGTGCAAAGGGATTGAGTGGTACAGACGTGGGGTTCCGAAGAGCATCCACAGTCTCGCCACTGCGCACCGGCCACTTGTTCTTATCGGAAATGACACGTAGCTGCTTCAATACGGATGCTTGATCCCAATGCACACGAAGAACAGCTATTTGATCACCCGAAAAAGTTGCCGAAAGCATCTATTTTTACATTTTAGACGACATGTTTCGTTTATGTAGATCATCCTTACCACAGGGATCTTGACCGTTGCGTTCATCTATTACGTTACACAAGGTAATTAAGCCACGTGTCACCGACTTTTCACTTATACCTCCTCCTCCTGCTCCTCACTCTACTCACCAAAAGCCCCTCATCCACTGTAGGCACCAACCAGTTGCATTCGCTGCCATGGAAGGTGATGGTCCATTCAACTTCTTCCATCACCTTGTTACCCGAAATAACAGTGCCATGTACTTGCTCTTGAATTTGAGCAGCCTTAAAATCGGGCTGCAAGTAAAATCGTCGAATCTGTGCGTTGCCACGAGCACCTGCACCAGAAGGCACGTAGATCACAACGGCATCTTCTGTATAAATACTAGATGTGGATGGTTTGTTCTTGTAAGTTGCCCAAGTTGCTTCCATTTTAAAAGAATACAGGCACAAAAAAAAAGAAGAAAAGAGGATAAAGAGAGAAAGAGAGAAGAAAGAGCCCAAGTGACAAAATGGGGTTCTCATTTTTGTATCAATGGTGCAACGTGTCACCTGAGCCCGAAAAGGAGGAAAGGGCTATCCTTTAAGACAGTCAAGGAGACCCAAAAGTATGAAAGCTTGTTGATGGTGGCTAATCCACCCTATCACATTCCATCATACAGCTAACCTAACCATCATATGTTCACATCGCATCATGATGCACGATACTTGAAATCATTGAATGTAATAGCAATTTTACTGTAATCAGATACAACATAGAAAAGGATGAAATATACAAATGGGACAACGTATGCAGGAAGAAAATAGATATGAATAAAGCACAAAAGCTCATAAAGCTAATGAAGCGAGCTGTTGGGTCTGCGAGCGGGTGGCTCATGATAAGAAGACGATGATGATGATGCGGTTGATGTTACACTAATAAGGTTGCGTTGGCCATCAATACGACGTAACGTATGACGGTGAGTGGCGTGTTTTGCTGGCAATGTCATATTGTTGGAAAGTGAACGAACATGACCACCTCGTGGAGCCGTTCGGGATGTTGGCAAGGATGTCTTTCGGGATCGTACTGAGGGCATGCCATGAGCTGACATTGCTGTGGGTGAGCGGCGGGGATTGTGATGATGATGATTATTGGTGGTAGTAGCAGCAGCAGCAGCAACAGGAGCAGCAACAGCAGTGGATGTACTTTGATCCTCTTCTTCATCGTATGGACCATGTTCAGTGGTGCTCAACGCTTGCTCTTCAATGAAATCGGGTTCCAAGTGCACAATTTCAAATTCCACAGGTGGCATCCTTTCTTTTTTTATGCCGCCTCGTTGTTGTTGTTGGGACGCTAAACGATCCATTTCTTTATCAATGCCAAGCATGTTGCTGACATTATCAAGAATAAGCAGCCCAACTAGCAGCATCCATCGCACAGCTTGTTGCGCGTGGGTGATAAAACGCGCAAAAATCATTCCATGATGGCGTTTGGTGGGTAATGAGCTGATTAATTGGATAAGGCTTACTTCCATGTGCAATAGTAGGATAGCAGTGATGGATGGTGTGTTGCTGCTACTTTCAGTTTTCATCATTGCCGTCGTATTGTCATTATACAACAAGTGCTTTGCATGCTGCTTGTGCCCGCCACGTGTCGTAAGGAAGGTGTCGTTCTTTGCGTAATCGTACAGAAACATAGGGTTCTTTGCGTAAAAGGCTGGTTGTCTAATCATGCCAAATACCGATCGGGTCAAAAGAAAGGAGTCAAAAGAAAGAAAAGGACATCATCCCAAAGCCGATATTTTATTTAGATATGCGGAAAATCACGAGGGTGTTTACTGCTTTGTGGTCTCACCCGAGCAGGTGCTTCTATGTATATTATTTGGTTGGGCCCCTTTCCCCCCTTCTTGGTTAATAAACTTCGGGAATGAGTTCCGAGCATTATCACAAGTGATTTGTTACAGCTATTTGGTGTTGGTGAATGTCGTTGCGTTACGAGGTTTCCTAGCAACGTCGTCTTTTTTGTGTATTCACCATATACAAAAGACCACCAATGCAGATACAGCTTTGTTATGTTAGATGATGTAGATGGTTGCTGATCCTTGCATTTGTACCCAAAGCCAGGCCCCGATATGCATCATTGGCAGGGGAGAGTGCATGTTTTAGACATCGTTTTCCTTCAATGCCATCCACAAAGATTCAACAGCCTGAAGCTTGTTACATGGTTACCACTGGGCCCAACACATTGCACATCAACATGTGATTGCTAGGTAGTATTTATCCATGAATGTAATGTCAACTACAATGAGCCGTGATGGGCATTGGAAATCAGCTGGTGTCCCACATCTTTGTGATTACAATGAAGTGGTTTGCATTTGCCTTGTGATACCATTCTTCCCATCCACCTATCTATGTATCATTTTTCCCAGCCCAGGATGCAACGCGCATTGACCAAGTGATTGTCAAATTGTGTCCCTTTCCCACACCTTACAATACGTTCATGTTGATCATAGTAGAAAGTGCTCCAAATCAGACCAATAGTTAGCATGGATGATGAATGTAAGTTTACTAAAAATATGAAAATCAAGGGAAGGAGAAAACAAATCGCCACTATCTATGGCTATGCTGAAGGTTGGGATTTGTCAAACCACAGCTTCACAGACTTATCCTTATCGATCGACCCAGATGCAATAATGTTCATTGTGGGATGGCACGCTATACAAAGCACAACGTCTATAAAACATGATCAGCACCCTATTGATTCCCGTGTCTGGTAAAATTGTTACCTGAATGCCCTTCCAGTTTTTGTACGATTTCTTTTGTCTGCAAATTCCAAATATAGATGTGGTGATCCTCGCTTCCACTGACAATCCATTTTCCACCCGTCACACTGTAACTTGCAAAAATACAATACTTGTTGTTCTCATGCCCCCGATAGGTTTTGAGACACTTTCCGGTATGATAATTCCACAACCGCAGCGTATTGTCGAGCGTCGACGCAAGGATATACTTGCCATTGGGAGAGAATTTGACAAAAGATCTAGAAGGAAATACATAAGATCCTTATCCAACCGAAGGCGTGATTTTACTTACACAGGTGGGTTGTCATCATCAACCAAGGTCTTTAGACATTGTCCGCTGGCGGTATCCCAAATACGACTGATAAATCATGCTTCAATATGCAGCTCTTTCAAGTCCAAGTAAGATTTGACAGCCCATTACTTACATTAATCCATCATGGCTGCAAGATACAATCATGGTACCGTCTCGATTGAAATGTACGGCGGATACGGGATCAGAATGTGCTGGTAGTGTCTTCATGCATTTGCCTACGGAGCACCATTGTTAATAACCTTGTGTATCTACGCAACCGTAGCACCTATAGACGTACCTTTCTTTACATCCCAAATCTTGATACTTTCATCAAATGAGCCCGAAACAATGAGATTTGATTGTGGATTATAGTTGACGCAGAATACGTAATTGGAATGTCCCTTGAGCACCTTGGTGGTTTCACGCTGAAGAGAGAAAAATTAGCCGATGATGATCCTCCTCCTCCTCCTCTTTGGGTTTGACCCTCCCATGAATCATGATGATGCTTTACTTACTGATCCTAAATTCCAAATACGAATGGTCTTGTCGTCTGATGCTGAGCAAAGGTTTTGGGAATCGGAAGCCCACGCAACATCTGAGATACCCTGAGAATGACCTTCCAAAGTAGCTTCATATTTGCCATCCAATGCGTGCCAAATTTTGATTGTCTTATCAGCAGCTGTTGCCAAAGTCGTCAGCATAATGTGGGCATACAATACACTATGGGATTATCATAGCTTACAACAACTGGCGAGCCATTTGCCGTCAGGCGAGAATTTAACACTGGAGACTGACATGCGATGGCCGACTAGAGAATATTTCAATTCGTATTGTGGTTTGCGTTGTTCAGGCCGAGGCTGTGGTCGTGCGCCTTCATTCGTCTTGATCTGCTTTTCGGGTGGAGCATCGTCGGCTGGAGACGATTCGGCAGGCCGCTTTTCTCCATTGTTGGTGTCTGTCGGTACGGAGGATTCTTTGGCTGGTTGTGATTGCTCCATTCTATGCCAATGAGCTTCAAATCGGGTGGTTTTGAGTTATGAAATGCAGTGTCACCTACCGTGGCGATTTCTTTTTTCTTTCTTGTTCCTCGTTAAGCGACTGGTCCTCCCGCAATTGCTCTTCAAGCACCAGCAGAAAAATCAATCTCCTTTATCCATTGGTACGGACGTTGAAAATTGACTGCTGTTGTCCGCATCCCTAGCCTGACCATGTTGGATCCCCATGGCAAGCTCATCATCAAGCAGCAAGCAGCATTGTACCTATTGCTATATCGATGTTGACCTTTGATTGTTGATAACATGCTGTAATTAAACCATCCTTACTTTTTTTTACAATGCTCAAAGTATGGCAAGTCTTCTCTTTGTGATGATGGGAGTGGGATTATGGATACAATGAGTGAAGAGGTATCTTGATTGGCATCATTGTTTGATGAGGGATAATGGAAGATTCCTTGATTCGCCCTTGTGAGTTACCTCCATTCGCATGAACGATCACCACGACGTCGTCGTCATCGTCATCGTCGAATAAGGCATCTTTTCAAAAGCAATCAACATCACGTCTAGATTCGTTGTGTTGTACTCTTCCCTCTTTGTAATCACAGAAATTGAAACATCCAGCATGTGTATGCAAAAGAGAATGTTGTCGGGTAGCATACTCCCGCATAGCTCTTTCCTCTATCATAATTTGATTGGTTACACGGTGGATTAGGTGATACAAGTGATCATCCTTATGATCACTTTCAGATTTTCATTGTTATTCTAGTACCTTTCTTGTCATTGCTATCATTGTGATACCTTCGTGTATGGATAAACCCTAAATAAACAATCCACGTTATCCTCGATGTACGTTGATGCATCTGCAAAGTTGGATTTGGTGGCATGGCCTACCGTATAGGATCGGAATTGACTTGTTGTATTGGTAGAGTAGGCAGAGCAGAGGACTATTGCGAAGGGCATTTTGAAAAAGAAAAGACCATACTCATCTACCACATCGTTTGTATACCTCATGCCGTTTTCACTGGATAGCATTATCGATTGAGCCTTATGTATTTTCTTGTTTTGATTGTAGGGATAAGGTTCCATAACGAGTCCTGGTGCGCCATCATCCTAGTGGCAATAATCTTTGTCTTGTCAATGAAGCAGCTGCAGTGGGTAGTATACAATGAGTACTAGTTTCATAGCAAGGGATGTAATAAAATGAGAGCTTGATTTAGTGTCTTCGCACGATTCGTATATATGCCTAGCTTAAACGACTCCTTGTATGGGCTAATAGGTACCAGAATCTCCATGCTGGATCGCATCTACAGCAACCTGACATTCTTTCTATTGCCAGGCTCATCAACAGCGAAGTCAAGGAGTGTATGCTTTTGTTAAACAAAGCCCAATCCCGGATATGGATGTAAAGTTTTCAAGTGATGCATCATCCATCTATGTCTCATTGTTGTTACGACTATGCAATCCTTTGCCTATTCACTAGCTTAGCATGTTTCTTTGGCCGTTTAAAGCGATGGACGTAACTTTACTATGATCATCTCCTTTATTTTGTAATCATCCATTGTCTTTACTCTTTACGAAATGTATCTATTTGGATGCGTAGTCGGCTAGTGATGAAAGGGTTGGATCAACTATGCTACACAATGAAAATCATTAATGACGCTACTACTACTAGTGCTAGTAGTAGTATAAGAATAGCGAGCTACCAGAGCTATTCAATGTGAAATTTTGTAAGGTAATCCATGAATGTTTATGAAAGGTTTATTCAAATCCAAGTAACTAGAGCAAGTAGGATCATGAAGAAGATCGTGTACCTGACAAGGTGAAACATTTATGCATGAAGGGTATCCTTTTGTCGGAAGTTGCAGTGCTGATGTGGAAACACGATTGCCAAATGGGGTGGGGAGTCTCCTGGACACACAAAAAAGAGAGGGAAAGTGTACGGTGTGCGTTTAGTTCTTTGAAACAGATCTCTCTCTTTCCACCTAAACTTTTTACTTTACATTCTTTCGGCTACGCGCGCATGGCTCTTCGATTTGCCCTGTAATTGTCCAATGGATCTCTTCTCCAACGTCAGTGGCAAGCGACGCTTGAAGAGCAATGCAAGATTGCACTACCCTTCTCGACGCAATTCCGTCGTTGCAGCCACCGCCGCCAACGCCGCATCCGTCAAACCACCTCATGATCAACAGCAACAACCCACTCAATCGAATACAAGCGACCATGCCAAAGCAACCACAACACTGTCAAAACGACCTCCAACGCTTCCACATACAAGCTTCCTTGCAAAACGAGCTGCACCTGTTCTCAATCGTTCCTACAACTCGATGCCGTGCATACCTCGTGAACCATGGGCTACAATAGGTATAAGCTACTACGCCTCTTTTATATATCGTTATCATCATCTCACCGAAGTGCGTGTGCGTGTGTGTGTGTGCCATAGAATACGAGAGCCATAGTGTTGATGCACATCGCAGCTATAGTATGGATTCGGAGCTTCCTCTTCATCCACACACTCCGTCGTCCGATCAAGAAATTGAACAATTGTTCCAGGAAGTCGCTGTAAGTGTCCACAATGCAGGGGAAATGGGAATAATATCAAATAGACTAATGATGAGGGGGGCTTCATTATCATTATTATGGATGCAGGGTCGCCTGGATTTAAACTTGGCAGATGGAGATATGAATGATCTATCCCTCGACAAGAAACAATGGATTCTACACAATGAGGATGAGTTGACCAAGCAGCTGGGATCAGTCATCAATAGCAAGACACGCCATCACCACCACCTAAGCAAAGCAAGATCGAATCGTAGCCTCAACAGCGCTAAATCTGGCAAACACGTGGATATGGTCAAGCCTTTTCTCAAGCCTGACAAAAAGGGAGACCGTCTCGCCATGGTTAGAGAACTCGTGGATCGTTTGGAAAGCAAACCTCTCAAGTAAGATCGATAGCATTTGGTATTTTATCATACCCTTTTCTCATTGCCATATGACTTTTATAGTTGGATCAAACAATTCATTGATGAAGGAGGAATGCAAGTGATCGCCAGTGAGCTTGGAAGAATTCACAAGAAACCTGACAGGTGCGTGGCAACACAAACTCTATATTTGGCAATCTTGTAACACTGTTTATCTCATAGAAAACAAAGGGATTGCTTGATCGAGCTGGAGCTTGTCAAATGCCTCAAGAGCATGATCAACAATGTTGTACGTATGCGTGTATGATGCTCTTGATAAGGGGATCTGTCTTACTGATAAGGACGCTTCATTATAGTACGGCATCCAAGAAGTCTTGAGTGAATCCCGCTATATCGACCGTATCACCTTTGCATTGTTGTCGCCCTATGTTCCTGCACGGCGTATTGCGTGTGATACGGTCACTTTTCTATGCTATTGTGACATTCCTCGAGGTCATTCTATGGTTTTACATGGTATGGAGCTGCTCAAGGAACATACCGAAAGCGAGAGCCGCTTTGAAGGTTGGCTTGGACCACTCGATAAAGTATTGGATTCTCGTGGCAAGATGGGATCGCTTGTTGGAGCCAGCAAAGACTATTTCAAGTACACTGGTATCTCTGAGAACCCTGAAGAACATTTGATTGAATATGGGGTAAGGCTTTAGGATAAAAGATGAGCACGCGAATGATTCTAATTATGGATTAAATAGTTGGCCAATATGCTCTTGATCAATGCATTGGTGGATCCTGAAGCGGTGGATGATCTTGATGTGCGTGTGGCTCTTCGTAATCAGCTATATCAAGCAGGCTTGACACACATTCTCAACAAAATGGAAGAACTCAACAGCGAGCTCTTGCACCGCAAAATTGATGAATTTCGGGAATTGGAAGAACACGATGCTGCATTGATCTATGGTGATATGGTGCTGAATGACGTGCTTGATCCGCCTGAAATCCTTGACAACATTCTTACGGCTATCACTGGAACAGAAGCATATGATCTCTTGCGAAGTATTCTTCAACATTTGATGCTTGTACCCGATGATGCAGAGATAAGGTATATACTACTCCCTTATTATGAAGCAAAGGTAGTTCTAATGGAGTTGTTTGCTAGGTCCCATTGCTATCGTGTCCTCGAATCGGTCGTCAGCCAGGTGGTGCTCCAACAAACCGGTGTGCTTGATGACCAGGATGGTGCATATGGCTTTACAGTGGATGCTCTTATTTCAAAGTTTGCTGAAGAAAATGAATTTGACAAGGCGTTGGAGGATGTTGGTCAACATATGCAAGCTTCTCGGAGTCTTGAGACGATCACATCTGAAAGTACAGGTAAAAGAGCAAAGATGGATTTTTGACAATAGGGGTATGTGCTAACTTATCAAACGCTAGATGTCAACGAGCTAAAAGCGAAGATTGACCAGCTAGAACGGATGCTTCGTGTCGCTGATCAAGCCAATACTTTATTGCAGCAACAATTGAGTGATCTTGAGATGGAGTATCAGCAAACAGTCGAAGTGATGGATTCACAAAACAAACGTCTTTACGACACTGTGCGTCAATTGACTGAATATGGATCACCTTGTGAGAAGCGTCGTGTACATCGCAACAGCCGAAAGTATCGCAACGATGATTCCGATATCAAAACATGGGAGGCACAAACAGCACGTCAAAATAAGCTTCAATCGGTAAAGCGAACTATGGACCTTGCCCTGTTATTATTCTAACGACGTTGTATATTAGGCTGAGAATGGAATGGAGGATTCACCGGTGCCAACCAAGCAATCATTGCGATCAAGATTGGGTTCTCGCGTGACATCATTTATGAAACGAGCCAGCCAACAAGATGTATTCTTACGCAAAATGATTGAACACATGTCGGATACCTCTGAAAATGGCGATGAGAAGTCTCCAACGACACCTGCCGATACCAGCAGCATCATCAGCAAACGTACCAACCGCACCAGCAGTATATTTTCATCCGTTTCAATTGCCAGTGCCCATAGCAACGATGACTATGGCAACGGACAGGCGTCTACTACACAATTGTTGGGAGATGATAGCACAATAGCAAGGTCACCTGATACACCAAGGATCTCTGTTACTCACCACCAGGATGATGATGATGATAGTACAGCCAACAAGGATGCTGCAGCATTACCTCCACCACCACCACCTCCACCTCCACCTCCACCGCCACCACCACCACCCCCCCCCCTCCCTGCAATTGGGCGTAAAGATAGTGCTTTTCCGCCTAGAC